AAGACCCCCACGCGTAAGCGAATTATTGAAATAAATTTTTTTTAAAAAAAACATGTTAGTCCCGAAATGAACTAGTTTGTGTCCAGTGGATGTTAAACCCCCCTCTCTCTCTCTCTCTCCGGGTCCTCCGGTTTCCTCTCACTGCTAAAGACCCCTATGCGCAAGCGAATTATTGAAATAAACCCCATATGTTAGTCCCAAAATGACCTAGTTTGTGTTGAGTGGCCGTTAAACTCCATTTCTCTCTCTCTCATAATATCTGTCAAACCTCAAAGTCCAAAACACCAAAATTATTTTTCCTACTAACGTTCATACACGTAGGCTACAATAGATTTAGATCAATTGATTGAACGAAGGCATTCATAAAATACAAAATGTCAATAGTGAACTCAGGTACAACCTTACTGACCTTGTTTAACCAAGTGACATTAGAGTAAAAGGATTTATTCGTAGACAATAAGTCTAAGGTAATAAGGACCAGGTATACTATACTATAAGTATGTCACACATAACAATCAATGAAAACCCTTGGTGATTGTAATCTATGTAATATAGTTAATAAATAAATCATTTATATACAATATGAAATAGGATATGTCATCATTACAAGTTTATATATAAAGGGAGTTAACTCTTGGTGATAGTAATCTATGTAATCGGACACAGCTCACCAAATATTTCTACACCGTCACCCACGAATGTAGGGCAAAAGTTATTTTTAGTCTTTCTCTCCCTTTCCCTTTTTCCCCCTTTTGCATGGCGATTTTTGTTGACTTTTTGGTGTAGAATCGAAGAAAAGGGTTTGAAAATACATGTTCTACCAGGTTTTGGTGAATATTCATGATTTTGAGGCGAAAGGATACAAGAGTTGAGAGGTTGGTTAGGTTGAAATGTAGGGTCCAAAATTGCATGTTTTCTTGTCTCTACTTCCAGCTTGTGTATCTCAAGTTTTCCATGGTGAACCTCATACGTGCTTTTGGGCAAGAGGTTGCCACATGTTGCTCCATCTATGGTAGAAAGTGTTCTAGCCAACGAAAATTTGGGAAAAATTTAGTGATCTGTGGCCAATCTTCTATATATATATTTGTGACTGTCGTTTGTCTGTCTGTCTGTCTGTCTGTTCGGGGTTGGCGGCTACACTAGGTCTGCCCCGAGTCTGAAATTTGGGGTATAGGGGTAGCTCGGACCGGGGAGTAACATAGGCCAGGTGGCGTTAGTCTACCACTTCCGGAGTGGTGACCCCCGGGTGAAGTCTGTCTGTTCGGGATTGGCGGCTACACTAGGTCTGCCCCGAGTCTGAAATTTGGGGTATAGGGGTAACTCGGACCGGGGAGTAACATAGGCCAGGTGGCGTTAGTCTACCACTTCCGGTTTCGGAGTTATGACCCCCAAGCGAAGCCGGTCTGTTCGGGGTTGGCGGCTACACTAGGTCTGCCCCGAGTCTGAAATTTATGGTATAGGGGTAGCTCGGACCGGGGAGTAACATAGGCCAGGTGGCGTTAGTCTACCACTTCCGGTTTCGGTGTATTAAATAAGATACATGTACAGGTAGGGCATCACAAGTTTATGTTCAAAGGGATTTAACTTTTGGAGGCAGATTTGATTAAAGTGTCAAAGATACTTCAGTCATTTTGAGACTTACATATGTTAATTTTCGTTACAATGGATAAGCCTACATGTGAAGGGAAAAGTTTTGCCTGGGCAGTGGCATTTCAACCTAAAGGTACTCTTCAGCACATTCCAACTGCAGGAGAGTACCTTTAGGTGGAGCTTGTTGACCATTTGGGGGTAGAGGGGGACTGAATGGTTAGCATGTGCGCGCTGTATCATAAGGTCTGTCACTGAGTCAACTGGCGTGGTTTCGATTCCCCGGTTGTACTTGACAAGGAGTAGGTTTGTCTATACAACCTCGTGGGTTTTCTCCGGGTCCTCAGATTTCCTCCCACTGCTAAAGACCCCTACGTGCAAGCGAATTATGGAGATATAATTGAACCATATGTTAGTTCCGAAATGACCTAGTTTGTGTTAAGTGGATGTTAAACCCAATTTCTCTCTTGACCTTAATTTTTTGTCCGATCCAAAAAACTAGGCATACTTTCCTTGGTCAATAAACACATAATTATACAATATAGAATAAGATAGACGTATTAAATAAGATGTCCCTTTAAGTAATAGAATGTAGAGAACCCTAGTTGATTTGGTTTATCTATGAGTTTTATTGGTTGATTGTTGAATACATTGGCTGATCACTGATCAAACAATCTCCAGATACCTGGATACCTTTACAAACCAACTTCTACCTATACTGATACCTGGATACCTGGTTAACCTCCCCTTCTCTATATCTACAGTCTATACTCAAGTACAATTTATACAATATTTTATGACAAGAATCTTGAGGATCTGTGAAGTGAACTGTTTGATAGTTGACAATCAGAAAACAAACCTTTCATATCTATATTTGTATGCATAAAAAGGATCCAAATTATTCAAATTATTTAATTTTTTGTTTAAATATTCATGTACTGAATATTCATGTTGACAAATTTAAATATTTTGTTTATCTTTCTTAAATAAGGTATTTACATATATCTTATTTTTCACAACTAGGATATATTTTTATTCAAGTTGAATAATTTGGATTTTTTTTTTTTTTTTTGTATTGTAATTTTGACTTTTTTGGGGTGTTATTATTTGATTTTAGGGTTTTATAATTTGATCTATCTATTCCACAACACTAGGGGTCAAATTCAAACAAGAATATTCGAGACTGATATCCTAGTCAGTAGTATCCATAATATCACTAAGGTTTTTAAAAACAAGTGAAAATCGGTTCAATCGGTGCAAAAAAATGTCAGGCACTCAAACCTGTGCCCTTCTCAAATTAAATATAGGCCTATTACTTTATATATGTATCTAATCAGAGGTTACACATAGGCATAGCCTGTTCCCTAATACAATTCACCTATTGTTTATAAAAATATTTTTTATCACAAGCCTGGAAATAAGCACCTGTCACAGGCAATGTCAGGCACAGATTCAAGCCTCTGGTGCCGGTCATTTTGTCTGGCACTGATTTGTCTTTTTTCTTGATATTATTAATACATGTCCGGCACTAAGTTGAAAATGTCTGGTACATGTACTATTTCATTAGTGCCTGACATTTTGTCAGGTACATCTAAAACCGTTAATTCCAGGCCTGTGTTTATAAAAAAAATCTGGTATGCCTACACCTGTACACAAATATGATACAAATAAACAGAGAAATACCAGGGGTTTAACGTTCACTCGACATCTACTTCTTAACGAATATCATTTACATTCCAATGAGCATGGTTACAGTACAATGTGACAGTTATTGTCAAATAGTTATAGACTTTATCTTGTATATTACAGTGATCTAACGGAACTAAAGAGAGTATAAATAAAGTAGTTATTGTATGTATATTGTTTGTTTATATCAAGTGGGATTGTGTCTTCAAATCTTATACATGATAAAGAGAGAGGGAGAGAAATGGGGTTTAATGTCCACTCAACACAAACTAGTCATTTCGGTACTAACATACTGTATGGTTGAACTTTGTTTCAATAATTCGCTTGGTGCTTGAAAACGATAAGACAATTTGTCCACAGAAAACTACTCCAAGACCGAGTTATACATGAAGGGCCTGGCTATTAAGAAAAAAATGTAGGGTCTACGATTTAAGTACATGTAAACATAAGTATTTTTTATCTCGGACTAAACATAGAGATTTTATTTTATTATCTCTGCACTTATTTACATATTCTCACAACTTTGTGTCAAATCTTATAACTTTGAGAGGGTTAGGTGGCCGAATGGTTCAACACACACTTTAGATCATAAGGTCTGTAATTGAGTCAAGTGTTGTGGTTTTGATTCACACTTGTATGTGACAAAGAATAGGGTTGTCTGTCCAACCTCATGGGTTTTCTCCAGGTTCTTTGTTTTCTTCCCACTGCTAAAGACAACTACACACAAGCGAATTATTGAAATAAAATTGAGCGATATTTTAGTCCTGATATAACCTTGTTTGTGTTGAGTGGATGTTAAACCCCATTTTTCTCTCTCTCTATTATGTTTTTTTTTTGTAAATCCTTTTTTCTTCATTTTGAGTAAAGCCTGTACATTACAGGCCCTGGGCCTGTACAGCGTAGTGGACGCTTACAGCTGGCCCCGGGATCCATTCATTTGTTTATTTTTTGCAATGTCTATATTCTGTCTTGTCTGTACAGGTTTATCTTATAGATTTTGTTTGGTGTGTAGTGTGATCTTCCTGCACTTACTATTAAAGGACAATATTGGTGTCATTACTTCAGTCAGTTATATAGAAGGACAACTCATGTTTGTCATGTTTGACGTCATTTGCCGTTTCTTCACGTGCTTGTTACACAACTCCCGTAGCAATGATCTCTGTGTTAAAATCATATTTGGGATGTATTTAACAAGCTCTATCACATATTTTATAATGACTGACACCAATGTTGTCCTTTAAAGATACAAATGAGTGTGTATCAATGTATGTGAACACTTCTATGACTGCCGTGTTATATCAGTGTTTAATAACAGTTATTGTGTTTTTTGTTACATTACTCACATGTATGCTTAATGGGTGTCCTCGCTGAAGGAATTCCCATCAGGTGTCGCTAGTAAAAACTCGGTTCCACGTGACCTTATCGATGGTAAGAGAACCGTATCGGTATTAAATTCCATATTAACGACAAAAACTAACGTTTGTCAACACACAAGTTCGTAATGAATGTACAGGAAAACTGTACTACATGTATACGGTAAACAATGAGGTCACGTGGGATCCCCTCGCCTATAAATTATGTCCCTTTATCTCTAGCGAGGACGCCCATTAATTCTACCTGAAAATTATGTGGATGCAGTTGGACTTTTGGTTTTGCGTTGTACAGTTCATCTACAAAGGTGTAAATTGTCATTTTAAGAAATTTTTAGAAAATAAAACTATCCTTACCTCATCGACTTGTCCATCTTCTTGAACATGTACACTATCTGACTGTTTACCTTCTGTTTCCATAGTAACCGTTTCCATAGTAACGGATGGCTGGACATTTTCACTGTCCTCTTGCACATTTGGAAGTTTTCTCACGCTTAAATTTTCCGAAAGTATCGAATGAAGAGAAACACTGTCATCGTCCGAAACCATGCTCTCACTTAATGCCAACTCGGCTATTTTCAATTTTTTCAAATTACACATGGCTAGCTGTTTTGAATCTTTGACCATCTTGCGTAACTCTCGGTCATAGTCGTCCTTCATTTTTTTAAATTCTTTATCTTTACGTCGATTTTCCTTACATTTCTTTCCATATTTGTCTTCCAAGTAAAATTTCTCGTCCTTCAATTTCTGAATTTCTTCCTCCATTTTGCTCATCAATTCGAAAGAATGAGCATTTGGTAAAGATTTTTTTGAGGAATTTTCGATTCCATCCTGCGTCGAAACACCACTGATATTTAATCGGCTGCTGATGGATTCGCTGATCGAAAGTTCATCCTGAGATAATGAAGACTTTAACTGCTTTATTTCTTCATCTTTGTATTTTAAAACTTGTTGCAATTCTTGATCTTTTAATTTCTCGAGTTCCGTTTTAATTTTTTCGAGTTCCTTCTCTTTGTCCCTTTTTAATCTTTGCTCCAAAACACTCAGTTCTTTTTTCTTTTCGTGCTCGTAAGAATCTTTCCATTTATGTAACTCGGCGATTTTTTCTTTTTGCAATTCCCTCATTCTGACTCGCTCCACTTCTAATTCTGCTCGTAATTTAGTCCAATTAGTTTGACTGTCACTTTCATATTTCGACCTTTTATGTCTTGATTCGTGTTTGCTTCTGGAATGGTGGGTTGTGCGGAGAGGTCTGGGTCCTTCTGATACGGCACTCAAAGGGCTGGAAGACCGACTTATTTCATTCAAATCCCAGTCAAAATCGTCCATTAAGCTGGCACTACTTGTGCTGACCTGACGTCTTGGTAGAAAGGCCTCCATTTTGTTTGTTTTTTACGGGATTTGAATTGAAGGAAGATGAAATTGGAAGCTAAGATTTGTAGGTGTTGAATATGGAAGTTAAGGTTGTAACCCCATGTCCGGTTGGCATTCCTAAAAATATAAATGAAAATAAAGTACAATCAGCTAAAACACAGTATTTGTCCAGTTTTCAATTTTTTTATGTTTATATACAATTTGGAAACAACTTCCACAATTTACAGTCCTTTCTTATATTCAATATTTGTAATAATGACCTCTCCTAATGACTACCAAATTTCAAGTCAATATATATCTTCGTTGTTGAGTTACAGCTATTATAAACATGTCTCAAAAATAGCCATTTTTTTGCGTTATGCTGTCTCACTTCAATAAATTGTATTTTGAAACTCAAATTAATATATTTTCTGTGACTTTTTGGAAAGAAAATAAACACATGCTTATACTTATAGAACAATTCCTATGATAAATTTTGGTAGTTGAATTAAACAATATTAAGGGAGTTATGATCGACTAAATTACAGAAACATGTTTCTCTGTCAAATTTTCAGAATTACATTGGACATGTGCATAAAATAAAAATGTGATCTTCAGTAATATACTTTTCAATTAGGTACTGTGCAATTTTAAAAATCTAAAATATTTTTTATTCATTTGAATTTGAAGTTGATATTTTTTTCACTTTTGAAAGCATACAGTGACCCATACTTAAAAAGCTTCACAAAGGTGTATTTGTAACAGCTGCTGAAATGAAAAAAGTCTAAATTTTAATGGCAAAAATATTGAACTACTGAGACATTTTGAGACTTGTTACATCTTTAATTCTATAATCGTGCACAGGAATCCTCAGCAGAGGTAGGTAACTTGGGGGGGGGGGACATCTGGGAAAACTGGGGGGGGGGGGGACCTTGAGAAGTTGAGAAGAACCACTAGGTTGGGAAGACTCATACTCCTCACAGTGTTTCGTTTGATTAGAGCTAATCCCACTTAAAACTGCTGTAATGGAAGCAAATTTCTGTTCCAAATTATGACTGGTCAATAGTCCGATTAACATTTATTAGCTAACTGCGTAACAATATCTCATTACGCTTTAAACAGAGCTCCAAATAAAACCAAATATGTTAACAAAACATTACGTCATGACTCACGACTTTATTACGCCCAATTAACCAGTGCATAGCAGAATATTGCAGAAAAACTAATTGTGTGACAAACAAGGCTATCAACACGGATACAATGTAAACACTACTGTTTGGAGCCGAACAATACTTTCACCGTTTTTAATACCTTAAATCACTGTCCAAAGTTTTAGGGAAGATCCCAGATTGAACGAAAGGCTGTCATGTTGCTGTACTTGGGATAGATTTGATTGAACGGGAAGAATACACACACTCCCTCAAAAGCTCAAGTATCAGAAGCCAATTCAGCAATGACCAGAAAGGGATTTCTCCGGCCATTGCTTCAGGAATATGGGAAGACCCTACTCCTTGTTACGCAGGTGTAAAGTAGTATAACAGGGCTAATGGCCCAAAAACACTATGCCACCCACCCCCCACCACCACTCATTGTGAATTCTTTTACACCCGATTTACCTTCTTTAAACCCCTAATTGAAATAAACCCCTGAACTTCAAACTATTAAAGACGGACTACCTGTATGGATCAAAAGGGTTAATATTATTATTTATTTATAATAATCAGTTGTCTTTTAATAGTATATCAACATGTCCCCCTTTCAACAACTTATAATCCTAATTATCCAGGTACAACAAAAGGTGAATACAACAAGTCTATAGACCATAAATAAAGGGTATTTTTGTTGGTCTCGTACATGCTATAAACACACTCTATAAAGAATTAAACACCACCATATAAATATCACAGTATTTATTGATAACATTAAAGGCTCAATACCACTCTTGTTGTAACTGAATAATATGTCCCAATCTTTATTCTGGTCAACAAATTGTACTATTTTACAATACCGGTATTCCAATTAATTGATGATACAAATTTCATCTTAACACACCTAATTTAAAAAATTGGAAAAATTCAACTAAATGATTTGAAAAGCCTGACGTAAAGCTTTTCAAACGTGCAATGGATTTAAAAATATTTTTGAACCCTCTGGACAAGTAAAATAGGATTTAATGGATAATTTACACAACAGGTAGGACACTAACACATCTAGTACTTAGAATAAGGCTATTTTTTATTTTCTGGAGCTGTCAAGCCAGCAAGAGTGTTATTGCCCCTTTAATAGCCAAGCTTTAGCTTGTATTTGTATCATATCCTTAATATCAGTGAATAAATATTGTTTAAAGGAATAGCCAACATTTATATTGAGAGAGAGAGAGAGAGATGAGGTTTAATGTCCACACACACAAACTAGACTAACATATGGTTCAATTTTATTTCAATAATTCGCTTGTGCGTAGGGGTCTTTAGCAGTGGGGGGAAACCGGAGGTCCCGGAGAAAACCCACAAGGTTGGACAGGCGACCCTACTTCTTGTCACGTACATCCTGGGATTTGAAACCATGCCAGTTGTCTTAAAGACAGGCCTTATGATACAGCATGCACGTTCTAACCATTCGGCCATCCAACCCCCTATTTAGAGAGAGAGAGAGAGAGATGGGGTTTAAGTCCACTCACACAAACTAGGTCATTTCGGGACTAACATATGGTTTTTAATTTTAGTTCAATAATTCGCTTGCTCGTAGGGGTCTTTAGCAGTGGGAGAAAAACGGAGCATACCTGGGTATAACACCCAAAAGTGAACTGGATTTAGTTTGTCAAGTTATTTCATTATACCGAAATGAAAATGAAATAAAAATGAAATGGGGTTTAACGTCCTACTGTTCTGCTCCGAACTGGGCTAATGAAGTAATGAAGACGGGCATACTCCATACAGTGTGCTATGAGGGTAATTTTGCCCGGACAGCGGCACTACGGCCTACTCTTATATCGAGTTCCGACTGTCAAGGGATCTTTTACGTGCATGCCAATGTGTACACAGGACCTCTGTTTTTTCGTCCCATCGAACAACTAGACAGCTGTCCTTGTCAGGCTCTCCGTCCTGTATCACTGACAAGGGGGAACCACGTCGGAAAATCTGGATGAACTTTCTCGGCCAATGCAGTGATCAAACACCCGACCTCCAGGCTAGCAGAAAGCATCTTACCCACTAAACCACTGTGACCCCCTCAATGCTTATAATACCAATAATTCAGGGATTATACCAATATTTACCTCATACACAATGCCATATAATTATGAAATGTGCAAAAATAGACATTGAATAGATTAATATACCATAAAAATATATATATTCTCCATACTCTTAGACATTTATCTAAATTTTGTTTGATGTTATTGTCAAGTTACTTGTTGTATTGTTCCCTTTATTGTGTATCCAGTTGTTTAATGAATCATTATTAATATTTACCAGGAGTAAAATTTGTTATTTTTTTTCTTTACTCATATTTATACAGTGTTTAAAAATAATATCGATATTAATTATTCATTCATGAAACCCTAAGATTTGATTGTTATATTTGTAATTTTCTGTGTAATATATATACATTCACATGTTTCCATGCTGTTCTTTATACGATGTTTGTGGAATAAAATCTTATCTTAAATTTATCTTATCTATCACAAAAAAAAAAATTAAATGTAGCCCGATACCTGTAATGTCTGTTACTGTATATAAATTGACCCAACAAGAAATTTTAATTTTAAGTAAGGACAACGATTTGCTATTTGCGATATTAAACATCTACACAGAGTTTTTACGTATTAAATCAAAGATATCGGACAGATTAATAAAACACCTTTAGCGTAACAGACTTATTTATATGACCTCGTCTGTTATCAAAACAATACCCGCAACGTGACCCTACCTGCTGCAAGCTTGTATCTCACTTCCAGAACATTACACACGTGCTTTTGGTCGTCAGTTTCTGTTATTATCTCTCGTGGTCGTGTTACGGATACTGGATGCACGTGCTCTATTGTTCATCTTTCAGGATAGGTTAATCCCTTTGTTATCCGCCTCGTGGATTAATCGTTAATCCATCGGGATTGATATAACAGTGAAAAGAACATATACTTGACACTCGTTCTCTTTATTGACTCGATTAAAGGGTCTTTATTTTACGCTATTATTCCTACAAGGTTACTGGGCGCACAAAGCTACCTTGTTGGCTCGTTAATCACGTGATGTACACAACTTCGTTCGCTTGTCAGTTGCCGTGTAGTCTAGATTGTCAAACATGGACTACATACTATAAAAACGATGTCTGGGTAATCAAATAATAACGTCTCATTAAATCCGCGGGAATTTCGTGCACCGTTATCTTGTCTGGGCACGCGGTCTCAGATATATTAGTCATTATGGCTTTTCTTATTTTCGTTGATGATAAACTAGGAATATATAGCTGCAGTAATTATGTAATTTTTTTAAACCCAAGTCCCAATTCTCAAAGTCACCGATGCCGATCGTGCGCGAATTTCGAGCCATATCTAGTATTCCCCGGCTTTTTAAATAATAGGCTATAAGTACCGGTAGTCTACGGAAATGGTTCCGGCGTGGTTTCCCCTTGTCAGTGATGAAGGGCAGCTGTCTAGTCGTTCGGATGGTACGGAAAACCGAGGTCCCGTGTACACATTGGCATGCACGTAAAAGATCCCTTAGCAGTTGGAATTCCATATAAGAGTAGGCCGTAGCGCCGCTGCCCGGGCAAAATTTCCCTCATAGCACACTGTATGGCGTACGCCCGTCTTCATTAGCCCAGGTTAGGAGCAAAACAGTAGGACGTTAAACCCCATTTCATTTCATTTCTACGGAAATTGATATACAATATTTAATTAAAGTAACGGAGCGTGGTTTGCATTTTTCGGAAAATATCATATTTCTCACGGCTTTAATTCCCCGCTACAATGTACTCAAATTGATTATTTAATGGAGCCACGTAGGGTGGCTAAGTGAGGAAGACGCTGGAGGTCGCGGGTTCGATGCCGGTGTTGGCCGACGAGAAAGATCACTGGGATTTCCCGGCGTGGTTTCGCGCCCTTGTCAGTGGTGCAAGACGGAGGGCCTGACAAAGACAGCAGTCTAGTCGTTCGGATTGGACGAAAAACCGATCGAGGCCCCGTGTACAAATTGGCATGCACATCAAAGGCCGTAGCGCCGCTGTCCGGGAAAAAATGTCCTTCATAGCACACTAGCTGTATGGTATGGCGTATATTATGCCGTCTTCATTAGCCCAGTCGGAACAGAACAGTAGGACGTTAAACCCCATATCATTTCTTATGATTATTTAATAAGGTTGGACCACTGTGGTTCAGTGAGTAGGGCGCTGTCTCGCTAACCTAGAGGTTGTTTCGATCCAGGTGTTGGCCGAGAAAGTTCATCAGGATTTTCCTGGGTGGTGCCATATTGTCAGTGGTGTAGGACCGAGGGTCTGGCAAGGGACAACGTATAGTCGTTCGGATGGAGCGAAAAGCCAGTTAGAATTCAAAATCAGAGTAGACCATAGCGCTGCTGTCCGGGCAAAATTCTCTCATAGTACACTGCATGGTGTATATGACCGTCTTCATTAGCAGAGTAGGAGCAGAACCGTAGGACATTAAACCTCATTTCATTTATGTGAGAGAGAGATGGGGGTGGGGGGGACAGGGTTTAACGTCCACTCGACACAAACTACGTCATTTCGGGACTAACATATGGTTCAATTTTATTTTAATAATTCGCTTGCGGGTAGGGGTCTTTAGCATTGGGAAGAAACCAGAGGACCCAGAGAAAACCCACGAGGTTTGTATTTAATTAAGAAAACAAAATTAAGATTTGAATTCAATCGGAGTAAAAAGAGGCCCAGCTAAAGATTTTACCCAAAACTTTCGTAGATGGCTTTCGTTGGTTATATCGTCTGTTGGGTATTCGTCATATTTCTACTCCGTGCTGTGAAAATCATTCACAAACGTATTCCCTAATACGTCTATTCCGAATGGAGTTAAAACACATTCCGTGAATTCTTCATTGACCATGCGTGAAATTAATAAAGAAATAATCCGTTTCTGAGCTAATTATGCTTCTTATCCATGGCCTATTTTAAGGAAATTTTCTCGGAGCACATCCCTCTGGCAACGTTAATTCTAGGGGGTCACAGAAGAGGAGCGGGGGTGGGGGGCGACACCCGGTGGGAAAGTTTGAAAATACATAGCCTCTTATAGCGTCAATTTGGCCTATATCGGCAGAAACTCGACGAGGTCACTGCCAAAGCACAGAAACTGGCAAACTTTGGCCGCTTTGACGCTTCCTCCACATCGCCAGGCGAACTCATGCCTGTAAAACGTCGAAACAATAACAAATAAAATTTTCACAGATGGCGGTGATGGAAAAAAAGAAAGCGCATATGCCGGACTGGAGACCAGGCAAATTCTAGCAAGTTCGCGTTTAAAAGCGACTGAGAGAGATTGGCCACACGCACTCGACGATAGCGACAAAACAACGAATCATAACTCAAATTCAAATTTTCAAAAAAATATATGGCATATTGATAGACCCCCGGAGTAGGGCAAAATAATTTTTCGGGCAGTGGCCAAATGATGAAAAAAATAAAATTTTAGTGGATGTGAAAGGAAAAATGTGAAAATTATCCATCCCGCGAAATGAAGTGGCCGAAATCCGGCCATTGGGTGGGGTGATGCAGTTAACAACCAGAGTTCAGAGTTTCAGAAAATCAGACAATTCTGATTTTGATCCAGCGTCTCTAGTTCTCAAACTTAAACTGCAGTTCCAGAAAATTCGGTCGTCATTTTGCGAGATTTTATTACGGTTATTTTGTGATTTTAATCTCGCAGCTGTTACTGCGGCTTTTACCATCAGCGTGTGTGGAATTTGGTTATAAAATGCGTGCAATTCGCATTTTGTTCTTTGTTCTCTTGACATGTGAATTTTTGTAATTTCCGATATAATTTCATATCGATAAATGACTGATTTTTCAACGCACACAAGGCTGACTGAAAAGTTCAGTTGGGTTGAAACAAACTTTTGCCACCAACAAGTATAATCATTGAATATATCATGGTCTTCGTACCAGATCATCTTGTGAACATAAGAAATCACCAGAAAAGGACACATCTCGTTATAGGACAGTCATCAAGTACTTGCAACTGAAAGGACATGGCCTCCATTTTAAGGGATGCTGCTCTTTCTATTCCACGGTAACTATCCAAGAAAACATTGCCGTCGGGAGAAAGTTTTAATTATTTAATTTAATTGCCGCAAACGTGTTTTCCTGCTATTCCTGCCCATGAATACAGCAACTTCAATGTGGTCCAATATATCCTAATTTGGGTGGTTGACCTGAATCCAAAACAACCAATCAATCGTCGATGGGTTAGGGGGTCTCGCCCTCCCGGTGAAAATTTTGAAAATCTAACCGCCGTAAATGCGTTTTACTGCTATTGTAGCCTGTGGGTTAAACAGTTTCAAATTTAAGTCCAGTGGTTTTGTAACAGGAATCTCTCTCTATGCCGACCTGAACTCAACCATCCAATCAGACTGTTGCAGCTGCATTCACAAATATTAATCGATGCCCGACAAATGTCACACAAAGTAGAGTGGCTTCAGAGAAAATGTTTTAATCCATAGTCAATTCAGTACAAATTCATGGTATTCAATTAAAAGAAAAGTAAAATTAAATGTTTTATTAGGTTTCGGGCACTTTATTTTGCCAATAATAATTTTCAGTTTACTGTTTTCCCGAAAAGTCAGATTGCACGAATGTTAGGGCAGCTGCCCCGCTCTGTCCCCCTGGCTCGTACGCCTATGATGTTTTATTTTTGTGATCATTATCTTCATAATATATTAGTGTGGTCTGCATCCACTAATTTAGCACTCGTCGTTGAAATTACCTCCCTTTAATCAGTTTCTCTACAATCAAAAGAATCACGAAGGCCCCCATATTGCATAGGATTATCCAGACATTTTGTTTAAATAGAAAAGAACGGATGTTTATCAAACGTCTGGACAATTATTCTAAAAAATAATCCAATATGTCAGCCTCCATGAATGTTTTTAAGAGTCTCCAACAAAGTCAAAGTTTAATACGACAAAGCGGTTGTTTACATGCATTTATCGTGAATATTTGTAATGTAAAAAGATATCATTTCACTAGGCGGTATTCGTCAAATAGTTCCGCCGAAAGAGATAAAGATGACGACTTCTTTGGAATTGAAGAATTTAAGGATTCTGATTCCGCGAAAATGGACGGATCAACGTCAAAACTCAAGCACCCTTTAGTTGATAATCTTTTAAAGATGCCGGAGGTTTCAAATAAAAAAGAGATCACTTACGGATCGGATCGTCACTCTGTGCGATTAGATCGTCAAAACCGACAAAACCGACCACGATTACATATGCTTCCTCCCCGCGAACTTCGTGATGACAAATCGCGAGAAAGGAAAATTTACTCTGGACCCAGAAGGAAGAACCTTACTGATGTCCCTGACTCTAAATATATTTCTACTCAGAATGCCCCTTCTCACTCAAAGTCTTGTTCAGAATCTAACGGCAATGCCAGCACACCTCCTCACTCAGGGTCTTCTTCAGAATATCCTGCAAACGGCAATCCCAGCCCACCTCCTCACTCAAGTACTCGTTCAAGATATCCGCTAAATGACAATCTACTGGCTTCTTCTAGTGCTAATAATGACGATAAAGATTTGGGTGGTAATTTCATAGATGAACAATATTTTACGTATTCACCAAGTGTTAACCCAGAAGAGCAACATCATAAACAATATAGGTCTAATAATGCCACGCATTTACCGGTGATAAATGAACCTGTAGATACCGATCAAAATGTCGAAACCACTTCAAATAATTCTACCAACGAACCCATTTTGGACGAAAAGAACACATCAAATAATAATTTTATTGATGATCAGTATTTTGAATACGATGACAATAAACAATATAAAACAAAATTTTCAACGAACGATGATTTAGAAATAAAAAATATCAGTAGTAAGTTGGAAGAAAGCAGAACAAATCTTAACACAATTGATGAACAATATTTCGGAATGGACATGGGTGCTGCGAGCGAATCTTTGTCACAATCGACAAATCAGGATATGTCCGAGGTGAAGTCTTCTAAGGATCAGGAAGTGAAAGATCAGGTTAGGATGGAAAAGATAAAGCAATCTCTGATGGACGACAATGTGAAGAAGCCAAATAAACCAAATCAAAAAGGTCCAGAGAAAGCTTATGATATCGCAATGAAGATAAGAAGGGAATTAAATCAGGGAACAAAATCTGATAAGACAGGTGATTATATCATATAGTCCAGAGTAATTAACCTATACGTGGATTGGTGGGGTGTTTGTATGGTCTAATGCAAGCCTGGAAATAAGGCACCTGTCACAGACAATGTCAGGCACAGATCAGGTTTTGTCAGGTACAAAACCTATGGTGCCTGTCATTTTGTCCAGCTTTGATTTGTCTTTTTTATTGAAATTATTAATACATGTCAGGCACTAAGTTGAAAATATAGGATACTATTTCATTAGTGCCTGACATGTTGTCAGGTACATCTAAAACTGTTATTTCCAGGCCTGTAATGTTTGGCGGTTTAGATCATACATGTACATGCATAGTTAAAGATACATTATGGGAGATTAGATAAAGAGCTGGCAGTTCTCACTATAATCCAGTAAATATCGCAGGCTAGCGATGGCATCAAGAGTTGATTATGGTCTGGATAAGTTAATTAATGTCTAATTAATACTTTAGATAACATTTCAGGCCTAAAGAAAAACCTGCAATAGGCAGATTTAGCGCTTGCATAATGTATGTTTACGGATTGTCATTTAGTCAAGTCGTGTAGTTTCGATCCGAAACTTGTATATATATTATGACAAGGAGTACGGTTGCCTACCCAACCTCATGGTTTTTCTCCGATTCCTTCATTTCCCTACCACAGCTAAAGATCTGATAGTGCAACAAAGTTTTTAAATAAAAAAATCATACCAACTGTCAAGGGATCTTTTACGTGCTGCCAATGTGTACACGGGACCTTCTGTTTTCATCCCATCCGAACGACTAGACAGCTGTCCTTGTCAGGCCTTCCGTCCTGCATCACTGACAAGGGAGAACCACGCCGGATAATCTGGATGAACTTTCTCGAACACCCGACCTCCAGGCTAGCGAGCCAGCGTCTTACCCACTTAGCCACCCTGATTCAAAAAAAAAAAAAATCGTACCACATTATTCTAAAATCAAATCATGGTATGTTACTATCTTATTTCTTATTTCAGATTCAGAAACAAGAGCAAGATTCAGTGGACCCGTTGACAGTAAAGGTTTCCGAATTTTAAAACATCAAGTACCCAACATCATGAAAACACCATCTTTTATGGTGGTTGATGTTCTGAAAAAAAGCATTGTATATGACAGAGGTCTGTGGTTTTTCTTTATTTTTGATTTATTATGAAAGGGGCCACAGCAGCTCGGTGAATCTGTCACACGGTTTGATTATTTGATGAGTTTTTTCATTCAAAATAATTTAAGGCGATAGTATCACCGATCAAAATATCGGTATCACTGTGATACCACTATTTTGATCGGTATCTTCCATCGGGATCTTCCAGTCTCATTTCCCCTTGTCTTTTTGTTCAGATGGGACTGAACAATGAAAATCTTTATTTTTGCATCATTATTGGTAGGAATGGCTATTGTGCAATCACTAGTCGATTCCCGGTTCCTTCGAATCCCCGGTTGTACGTGACAAGGAGTAGGGTCGCCTGTCCAACCTCGTGGCTTTTCTCTGGGTCCTTCGGTTTCCTCCCACTGTAAAAGACCTCTACGCGCAAGCGAATTAATGAAATAGAATTAAACTATATGTTAGTCCCAAAATGACCTAGTGTGTCTCGAGTGGTCCTTCGGTTTCCTCCCACTGTTAAAGACCTCTACGCGCAAGCGAATTAATGAAATAGAATTAAACCATATGTTAGTCCCAAAATGACCTAGTGTGTCTCGAGTGGTCCTTCGGTTTCCTCCCACTGTTAAAGACCTCTACGCGCAAGCGAATTAATGAAATAGAATTAAACCATATGTTAGTCCCAAAATGACCTAGTGTGTCTCGAGTGGTCCTTCGGTTTCCTCCCACTGTTAAAGACCTCTACGCGCAAGCGAATTAATGAAATAGAATTAAACCATATGTTAGTCCCAAAATGACCTAGTGTGTCTCGAGTGGTCCTTCGGTTTCCTCCCACTGTTAAAGACCTCTACGCGCAAGCGAATTAATGAAATAGAATTAAACCATATGTTAGTCCCAAAATGACCTAGTGTGTGTCGAGTGGGCGTTAAACCCCATTTCTCTCTCTCTCAGCCTTGTTTCCTCTTGTCCATATGTGGGGGGTTGTATGGCCGAATGGTTAGCACGTGCGCACTGTATCATAAAGCCTGTCATTGAGTCAACTGGCATGGTTTCGAATCCCTGGTTGTACGTGACAAGGAGTAGGGTCGCTGTCCAACCTTGTGGGTTTTCTCCGGGTCCTCCGGTTTCCTCCCACTGCTAAAGACCCATACGCGCAAGCAAATTATTGAAATAAAATTAAACCATATGTTAGTCCCGAAATGACCTAGTTTGTGTTGACGTTAATCCTCATTTCCCACTCTCTCTTGTCCATATGTAGTTTTTCGGATGGCACAGAAAACCAAGATTCCCCGTGAACATTTGTATGTACATTCCAAGAAGAGTCACAAGATACTCTGGCTGTATGTCCATCTTCTTCAGCCCAGACAGGGGAGCCACGGTGGTTAAGTGGGTAAGATGGTGGCTCGCTAGCCTGGAGGTTGCGTGTTCGATCCCTGCATTGGCCGAGAAATTTCATAATGATTTTCTGATGTGGTTTCCCCCTTGTCAGTGGTGCAAGAAGGAGGGCCTGACAAGGACAGCTGTCTAGTCATTTGGATGGGATGAAAAATCGACAGTTAGAATTTGAAATTTTGAGATGGCTAGGCAAAATTTTCCACATAGCACACTGTATGACACATGCCCATCTTCATCTGCCCATGTATACATTGGCTTGCACGTAAAAGATACCACGGCAGTTGGAATTTGATATACGAGTAGGCCATAATGCGGCAGCCAGGGCAAAATTTCCCTCGTAGCAAACTCTATGGCATATGCCCGTCATCATTAGCCCAGTCGGAGTAGAACAGTAGGACGTTAAACCCCATTTCATTTCATTTCTTTAGCCAAGAAAAGTAAGATGCTTAATACCATTTATTGTTTTTTGTAACGAAAAAAGTAAAATTAATGAATCTTTGTGTATTTTCTGTCCGTAGTGTTTTCAACTTTACCTACAAATTTCATACTCATATTATGTGGAATGATCTTCCAAAGACTTTTCGAGAGTCCTCTCCCATCCAGAGCTTTAAGATTAACTTAAAAACATATTTATTTCAAAAATGTTTTTGAATTGTTTTGTTGTGAATGTGCTTAGAAACACTCGTGTGTAATGAAGCGCTATATAAATCGAACAATTATAAAAATAATATTAGATTAAATTTATAATTTCAGATGATATTATTGCTATAGATAAACCATACGGTCTACCATCACATGGTGAGTATTGTATAAATATAAATCTTCCTTTTAATATCCGTGCGCGCTGTATACCAAAGGGCTGTCATTGAGTCAAGTGACGCGGTTTCAATTCCCTAGGTCCAACCTCGTGGGTTTTCTCTGGTTCCCCCAGTTTCCTCCCACTGCTAAAGACCCCTACGCACATGTGAATTATTGAAATAAAATTGAACCATGTGTTAGTCCTGAAATGACCTAGTTTGTGTCAGTGGATGTCAAACTCTCTCTCTCTCTCTCTCTCTCTCTCTCTCTCTCTCTCTCTCTCTCGCTCGGTTTCGGTTCCCTGCTTGTACCTGACAAGGAGTACGGTGGCCTGTCCAACCTCTTGGATTTTCCCCGGGTCCTCCGGTTTCCTCCCGTTGTTAAAGAACCCTACGTGCACAAGCGAATTATTGAAATAAAGTTGAACTGTATGTTAGTCCTGATATGACCTACTTTATGTTGAGTAGATGTTAAACCCCATTTCTGTCTTTCTCTCTGAGTTTGTTTTTTTGGTTTGTTTCAGGTGGTCCAGGTGTACATATGAGTGTAGGTCAACTTTTACCTGCTTTAGCGGAACGACTGGATCCAACAGGTGAATTATCAACTCTTCATCTGGTACATAGACTGGATAAAGAAACAACGGGGGTCATGCTTCTAGCCAGGTAATATATATACACATTTATATTAGAGATAGACATGTGACCATATAGCATTAATTTAAACATATCTGCTCCGAACTGGGCTAATAAATACAGGCATACGCCATACAGTGTGCTATGAGGACATTTTGCCCGGGCAGCGGCGCTACGGCCTACATTTATATCGAATTCCAACTGCCAAGGGATCTTTTACGTGCACACCAATATGTACACGGGACCTCGGTTTTTTGTCCCATCCGAACGACTAGACAGCTGCTCTTGTCAGGCCCTCTGTCCTGCATCACTGACAAGGTGAAACCACGCCGGAAAATCTGGATGAACTTTCTCGGCCAATGCAGGGATCGAACACCAGACCTCCAGGCTAGCGAGCCAACGTCTTACCCACATAGCCACCGTGATCACCTTGGCTCAGTGAGAAAGGCCCTGGGTCACTAGCCAGGGTAGGTTCTATGTTTGATCCTCATGCTTGTCGAGAAAGTGTTGCTAGGGATTTTCCAGTCTGCCCCCCCCCCTTAATATATAAAAACCGAATGTTTGGCTAGATACCTGCTGAATACATCCACAAGTACTCTAGCTGTGTTCTATAAATTTATAGCTGTTATAATTGGAGATGTTTTGAAATTTCTGCAACCCTTTTCCATGTAAAAAATAATTGTTTTTCAGAACATCAGAAATGGCCAGTGAATTAAAAGGTTATTTTATACGGAGGGAAGTGATCAAGAAATACTGGGCAATCACTAAAGGTGTTCCTAAATTACCTGAAGGTAAGTGGTCATGTCGAATATATGAAGAGTCCAGGGGAAGAACGATCTAAGTCACAATTTTGTCTTTTCGCATAAAAGGCAAAACAGACTTTTGGACGAGAATGCAAGACATGAACAGAATAACAAGTGGGTTTAATTACAACTTCAAAATGATGTTTAATACGAATCATAATTACTAGTACAACAACTGACTACGGTCAAATAAAGGTTACGATGGACGTATTTGTCTGGAAGGCCATTTCAGATGGGCCTTGGTTCGATATGACTCCGATCATTTTTACCTGAAATTGATTTTTCAACAGAAAGCTTATACAATTTGCTACCAGATGACACCCTTAACTGGGGTTCTTTGAAAAAGTGACTTAGATTGTTCTTCCCCCGGGCTCTTCATATGTAATATAAATGGTACTATAATATTAATCATAAACGACATTACATACTTATGGAAAAACGTGGGTATTTTTCTAGAGATATGTCATTAAGAATTGCAATAAAATGAGTTTTAATGTCCTACTTTTCAGCACCGACTGGGTAAAAAAGGTCATTAAGAACAGATAATTTGATTGGCCGATGCTTTGGTACACAATAATCGTAGTAGAATATTCAAATTTGTTCATTTGCTGAATTTCTTGACTGAGTTCAATGATGAAGCTATGTAGAGATAAGCCATTAGGTGAATGTCTTGACCGAGTTCGACGATGAGGCTATGTAGAGATAAGCCATTTTATTAGTTGAGACTTAGGGACACAATAACTAAGTTTCTAATCAAGGTAGAACGTTTGAACTTGTAGGTGTTCATTAGGTGGATATCTTGACTGAGTTAAAACAATTATAGCACCTGCATTACTTAATGTCTCTGTAGACCTTTAAATCCTGGTGGGGGGGGGGGACGGGGTAATGGTTAGCACGTGCACATTGTATCATATTGTCTGTCATTGAGTCAACTTGCGTGGTTTCGATTCCCTGGTTGTACTTGACAAGGAGTCAGGTAACTTGTCCACCGGCGTGGGTTTTCTCCGGGTTTCTTCCGACTGCTAAAGACCCATACACGCAAGCGAATTATTGAAATAAAATTGAACCATATATTATTAGTCCCAAAATAACCAAGTTTGTGTTGAGTGGACTTTAAACCCTGTTTCTCTCTCTCTCTTTGACCATTAAAATCACTCATAAGTGATTGTTGGATAAAACATTTGTTTTTTATTTGAATATTTCAGGCATTATTAATATACCAATGGCGGAGGTCGACATGGGAAAAGGTATTCATAGGGTAAGTTAAATTACAGAACTTTGTGGTCAGATAATGTATATGTGTTGCAGGGATGTAATGATATGGTGTGCTTTGTGATTGTTCGTATATATCTGGTGTGCTGTGTAATTGTTCGTATATCTAGTGTGCTGTGTGATTGTTCGTATATCTGGTGTTCTGTGTAATTGTTTGTATCTCTGGTGTGCTGTGGGATTGTTTGTATGTCTGGTGTGCTGTGTGATTGATTGTTCGTATATCTGGTGTGCTGTGTATGTTCATATATCCTGTGTGCAGTGAGTGTATGTATATCTACGGAGAAGAATCTAGACGTCCCAAGATATACATACAGTCACACAGCACACCATATCATTACATCCCTCTTTGGTTTTCTATGGTTTCGTCTTGTGTGCGGCTTAGATCAAAAGGTCTGTCATTGAATCAATTAAGTGGCATGGATATGATGTACGTGACAAGGAATAGCCTGACTTGTCCAACCTCATGGGTTTTCTCCTGGTCCTCAGGAATCCTCTCCCTGATAAAGACCACCACACGCAGGTGAACTATTGAAATAAAATTGAACCATATGTTAGTCCCGAAATGACCTAGTTTGTGTCAAGTGGATGTTAAACCCCATTACCCTCTGTTTTGAAGCTAGGGGGATTGAGTCGGGATATTAGCTTCACTGTTGACTTGTTTATTTTTCAGATGGCCCTTAAACCAGAATATCAGCAAAAATTTTATTCAATTATGAAGAAGAGAAATATTAACGAATCAGTGGAAGCCGTCACACAGTATAAAATATTACAACAAAATGGTACAGCAGCTTTAATAGAATGTCAGCCATCTACCGGTAATTTCTTTAATATATTTATGGGGAGCCGTGTTGGCTCGGTGAGTAAGAAGTTGGCTCGCTAACCCCACAGGGACCTTGTTCCAATTCGATCCCGATGTTAAATGGCCGAGAAATTTCCAGCAGGATACTCTGGCGTGGTTCTCCCTTGTCAATGGTGCAGGACCGAGGGCATGGCAAGGAACAACTTTTAGTCATTCATGTGGAACTATAAATTGAGGTCCTGTATACACATTGGCGTGCACGTAAAACATACCTTGGCTGTTGGAATTCAATATAAGAGCCGCTGTCTGGGCAAAATTTCTCTCATAGCACACTGTATGCCCATCTTCACTAGCTAGGTCAAATATATATAATTTCTAATATATATAATATAATGTCAGCCATTACTATATTAAATAATAATAATATTTAATATAATGTCAGCCATTACTATATTAAATAAAAATAATAATAATATTTAATATAATGTCACCCATTACTATATTAAATAAAAATAATAATAATATTTAATATAATGTCAGCCATTACTATATTAAATAATAATAATATTTAATATAATGTCACCCATTACTATATTAAATAAAAATAATAATAATATTTAATATAATGTCAGCCATTACTATATTAAATAAAAATAATAATAATATTTAATATAATGTCACCCATTACTATATTAAATAATAATAATATTTAATATAATGTCAGCCATTACTATATTAAATAATAATAATATTTAATATAATGTCAGCCATTACTGTATTAAATAAAAATAATAATAATATTTAATATAATGTCAGCCATTATTGTATTAAATAAAAATAATAATAATATTTAATATAATGTCAGCCATTACTGTAATGTATTTGAGGGGCTATGAAATGGGGTTTAACTTTAACACCCTACTTTCTGCTCCAACTGGGCTTTTCATATCATGATGTTATTTTAAAATGTAACCTGGGCCCTGTTTCACAAAATTTTAACAAAAGATAAAATCCAAATTTTAGTAGATACTTCAATTTTGATTGGCTAAGCACTAAAATCAATCTAATATTATCCAATCAAATTACTAAAATTTGGATTTTATCTTAGTTAAAATTTCGTGAAACAAGCCCCAGGGTTTACATCGGTTCACAATTCACAGCTATATGGTATGCATATAGCTATTGATGGGGAAGGGGGTTGGATGGCCGAATTATTAGTGTGTGCGCGCTGTATCATAAAGTCTGTTATTGAGTCAACTGGCGTTGTTTCAATTCCGCGGTTGTATGTGACTAGAAGTAGAGTCGCCTGTCCAACCTCGTGGGTTTTCTCTACGTCCTCTGGTTTCCTCCCACTGCTAAAGATCCCTATGCGCAACCGAATTATTGAAATAAAATTAAACCATATGTTATTCCCGAAATCAATATCACCTAAATTGTGTCGAGTGGGCTTTAAACCCCATCTCTCTCTCTCTCTCTCTCTCTCTCTCTGTCTCCCTCTCTATTAATAATCATATAAATATAAAAATTTGTGTAATTTTATCAGGTGTGAAGCATCAGATTCGTGTCCATCTTGGTTTTGGTTTAAATACTCCAATCCTAGGAGATCATAAATATTCACATTTTAGTAAACTAGTACCACAGGTTTGTACACAGTTATTTATAGTCTCATGTGAGTGGTGTGAGTGGGGTTTTACTCAAAAATATCTTTTGGCACATCAAGTAGGGTTTTACTAGCATATTTTTGTCTTCACAGAGCAAGTGGGGTTCTACTAGAATCTTGTTTTTTGAAAGACCAAGCAGGGTTCTACTAGAATTGTTTTTTGAAAGACCAAGCGGGGTTCTACTAGAATCTGGTTTTTTGACAGAGTAAGTGGGATTCTACTAGGATTGCTTTTTGACAGAGCAAGTGGGGTTTTATTAGCAAATATTTGACAAAGCAAGTGGGGTTCTACTAGAAGACATTTGACAGAGCAAGTGGGGTTTTACTAGCGAACATTGACAGAGCAAGTAGGGTTTTACTAGAAAATGTTTGATAGAGCAAGTGGGGTTTTACTAGAAAACATTTGACAGAGCAAATAGGGGTTTACTAGCAATTATTTGATAATTACAGGTTACGACTCCACTACAAGGTGACTAACTTCTGTTATTTTCGGCTATTCGGGATGTAAAAAAATATTCTGACCCCTTTGTTTCTTTTTGTTTTAGAAATTATACGGAGACATGCTGCAGAAACTTGGAATACGACAGAGCAAAGTACGTCACGTTCCAATGCATCTTCATGCCAAAAGTTTAGTGATCCCAGAATTCCAGGATGGACGTAACTTAATTGTGTCTGCTAAATTACCGCAACATTTTGTCACGAATATGCATAGATTAAAACTGACAGCAAGACGTTGATGTGATTGGTTGTGGTGTGATATTTTTATATTATTAAATTTATTACTTTATAGGCTGTGTTACCTTCTTTCTTTCTTTCAAATTCTAAACCATTTAGGGGGCGTGGGGGGGTGATGGCCGAATGGTTAGTATGTGCACGCAGTATCATTGAGTCAACTGACATGGTTTCGATTCCCCTTTTTGTTTGTGACAAGGAGCAGGGTCGCCTGTCCAACCTAGTGGATTTTTTTTCCGGGTCATCTCTGTAGTAAGCTATTCCTATAGCTTTCTTTTTCCTTGTCACAGTGCAGTACAAAGTTCATGATTCTGAGGGCGAAGGATTTAACATGAATTTGGTTACCGCATACATGTATGTGCTGCGGATATTTTTGTATCTCATAATTTTTCATGACCAAGCTTGGAGCAAGACATAGTCATATGCTGCTCAGTGGAATAAAGAAATTCGCCTAAAAGCTACAGCTAGGCGAAGAGATGTGTATTTACTTTAAATTCAATGGGAAATTATGTGTTGGTCTGACCCCAATTAGACCTTTAAATAGAGTAGTCGCCCCTGTATTGTGATCGAAAATAAAGATAAAGGATTTTATGGTCTATGATAACGTTATTATTATCTTACTTATTGTTGAAGCACTAAACAAGGTCATTTCCAGATTAACTAAGACAAGAGTCTCCACACCTAAGATAAAATGTTATTTTGTACACTGTGAGGAGATTATATGCCAGGTCACAAATATTACCACTAGCAGCTCTTAATTTTAAGAGGACTCTTGCTGTTCATTGCCTGTCAACCACCTTGGGATCTCTCTGGGTTCTCCAGTTTCCTCCCACTGCAAATGACCCCTGTCCAATCTCGCTGGTTTTCTTCGGATCCTCTGCTTTCTTCCCACTGCAAATGACCCCTATGAGGAAGCGAATTATTGAAATAAATTGAACTCCTTGTTAGTCCCAAAATGACCTAATTTGTGTTGAGTGGAGGTTCCCCCCCCCACTTCTCTCGCTCCTTATTTCTTCTCTTTCTGTTCCCTCTCTTCTCCAACCAGGCCATCTCATTCTTTGTTGGTACTCCCCCCCCCCTTTCTCTTTCTCTCTGCAATCATCAGGGGGGTTGGATGGCTGAATGGTTAGCGTGCGCGCGCTGTATCATAAAGTCTGTCATTGAGTCGACTGGCGTGGTTTCGAATCCCCGGTTGTACGTGACAAGGAGTAGGGTCGCCTGTCCAACCTCGTGGGTTTTCTCAGGGTCCTCCGGTTTCCTCCCACTACTAAAGACACCTACGCGCAAGCGAATTGTGTAAATAAAATTAAACCATATGTTAGTCCCGAAATGACCTAGTTTGTGTCGAGTGGACGTTAAACCCCATTTCTCTCTCTCTCTCTCTCTCTCTCTCTCTCTCTGCAATCATCACTCGGCAAACCTCGGCAGATTCCGGTACCCAACATGTAAGGTACTGGAATCTGCTGAGGTTTGACGACTGTGCAATCATCCGTTAACCGACTTTATTGGTGCTGATCTAGATTGCGTTTAGATCGGTACCATCTGATGGTAAGGTGAGATAAGATAGCGAGTACTGTAAGTCACGTTTAACCTCCGGGTATCAGATAAGAAATTAATGGCGGCGACAAAAAATATCCCACAGCCTTCATGCCTTATATATAGATCTAGACTGGACCATACCTCTTGGTAAGATTACTGAATATTTTTATACATATTTAGGGTCGTTTAAAGAGGCATAACCGCCAGCGTGTCTGGGGCGGGGCTGGGCGGGGCATTGGTCGACTGCATTTAGAAACAAATCGTTTCTTCTGTCGGGACATTAAAAAGATACAGTTAGGCGTCTTTTGCAATTTCTTTTTCCACGAAATTACTGCTTACTGTCGGAAACACCCGCCAGTGAGTCTAGGTCGAGGCGAGGCGTGGCGTGGTGGGCGGCACTATTGGTCGACTGCCTTTAGAAGCAAATCGTTTCTTCTGTCAGGACATTAAAAAGATACAAGGTGTCTTACGCAATTTTGTTTTTCCATGATACTACTTCTTACTGTCGGAAATACCCGATAATGGTAGCGATTCTATTGTACGTCTTGTATTTGTCTGAAATGGGGGTAGGGGGTGTATGTGTGCGCGGGGGGGGGGGGCAGGGCACATACTCTAGCCACGCCACTGAATGCTACTTGGTATAATACATAATGATCTATCACGATACGGCCACGCATGGGCTGCTCTTATTAGGTTGTGTACAAAATTTAAGACATATTTGTCAATCCATCGTTGAGATATAGACGCTTTACTATCCATTAAGAACCTATAGATTATAACATATTGGTTTTCAAAGAGTTTTGCGGGTGCTGGTTTGCACGAGAGTCGTCCAGTGTCTGGATTAGTTTATACACGTCACAATTCTATAGAATACAATTACTGCTTATTACTGAGTGACGTTTCGACTATAGGTTTCTCTAGTCATTATCAAGCAATGACAGTCGAAGCGTCGCTCAGTAATAAGCAGTAATTGAATTCTATAGAATTGTGACCCGTATCTTCCAGTTCTATTACTAAATGCCACTGAAGCAATTTATCTGGATTAGTTGAGTCATAGCGCAGCAGATAACTGCAGGGTTTCAAGGGAATCGATCAAATGTGAATACAAGTTTCAAAATTGCCACAATAATATTCCTTGGCAATTTAAAATTTTTGGGGAACAAAATATTTTTTTTCTCGATAAAATCACATTAAATTGTTGACCCTGAACATAATATATTGTGGGATCAATTTCAGATAAAGAAGATGAACGCTGTAATTGTTTTAGCTGCCATTATTGCCAGGTAAAATCATAGCAAGGTTTCAAATCTGAATACCTGGAGATCTATAAATTCATATTATCTCACGGTTTCAAATCTTAATACCTGTATAAACTCGTATCATCTCCCGATTTCAAATCTTGATATTAATATAATCTCGTATAACTCGTATCATATTTAGGTTTCAAAACTTGATATTGGTATAAACTCGTATCATATTTAGATTTCAAATCTTAATATTGGTATCAACTGGTATCATATATTATGGTTTCAAATCTTGATAGTGGTATAAACTCGTATAATACATAGGTTTCAAATCTTGATATTGGTATCAACTCGTATCCGTTAATTTTGTGTTCCATTATTTCTTTGTAAATACTGAACTAGTTTAGAATTTTAACTTACAAGGGATACTTTCGATGGTCTCCACTACATGATGATCTGACCAGTTGTAGTGGAAGGTCGTGTCAGGGGTTATACGAGCGGTTTTTGACCCTATGACGTTAGACTTTTGATTAACCAAACAGCGTTGATGTTTCTAGTGGGATATCCACAATTCCGTACGCCAAGAACTCACCGCAACACACCGTTCCATTGGCTAATCCCTCAGACCAAGCAGAACGCGGGTTATTTTCCATATAAATTTGTGTTTTTATATTATATGTTCAATTACTAAATGCCGTATAAGGATTTCATAACAACTCTTCCAGATCCTAGTGTAGTAAAGAAAAGTAAAACGAAATTTTGAACTATAAAAACGAAACGAAATAGGATCTGTGTTTTAATGAGATTGGGGATTACTATATATATTACCCAAATCACGCTCATGGACTATATACAGCTTGTAACCCTTTACCCTATTTAGGTTAAACCCCTTTTACCCATTACGTTGTTTCATAGTAAAACTCTCTATTCAATAACACTGTTCACATTAAACCCTTTATTCGGTACCCCTGATAATCTCTGCACCCATTTCATTGTTTCACTGTAAATCCTTACATCGATTCCATTGTTTCACTGTACATCCTTACACACATTCCATTATTTTATTATAAATCCCTACAATCATTCCATTGTTTCACTGTAAATCCTTGCAGCCATTCCATTGTTCACTATAAATCCTTGAAGCCATTCCATTGTTCACTATAAATTCCTACAGCCATTCCATTGTTCACTATAAACCCCTACAGCCATTCCATATAAATCCTTGCACCCATTCCATTATTTCACTGTAAATCCCTACACCCATTCAACTGTTCACTATAAATCCCTGCACCAATTCCATTGTTTCACTGTAAATCCTTGCACCTACGTTTCACTGTAAATCCTTACATTGATTCCTTTGTTTCCCTGCAAATCCTTGCACCCATTCTAATGTTTGACTGTAATTCACTGCACTCATTGCACTGTTACACTGTAAATCCCTACACCGATTCAATTGTTTCACTGTAAATCCCTGCATCCATTTGATCTCGCTGTAAATCCCTATATAGATTTTATTGTGTCACTGTAAATCCCTGCATCCATTTGATTGTTTCACTGCAAATCCCTGCATCTATTTGATCGTTTCACTGTAAATCCTACATATATTCTATTGGGTCACTGCAAATCCCTGCATCCATTTGATCGTTTCACTGCATATCCGGACATCGAGTAATTGTTTCACTTTTAATCCTTACACCCATTCCATTGTTTCAATGCAGTCACATGCATTCATTCCATTGGTTCACTATAAATCCCTGCATCCATTACATTATTCCACTGTAAATCCCTGCACACATTCCATTGCTTCACTGTAAATCCTTGCATCTATTATTTTATTATAAATTCCTACACCCATTCCATTGCTTCACTGTAAATCCTTGTATTCATTTTATTGTTTCACTGCAAATCCTTGGATTCACTCCATCGTTTCACTGTAAATACTTGCATTCACTCCATTGTTTCACTGTAAATCCATTGTTTCACTGTAAATCCTTACATTAATTCTATTTTTCCCTTGTAAATCTCTTACATTCATTCCATTTTCCCATCTGGTTCCCCATGTAAGAATGGGGCGTACAACAGAGGCCAGTGTAAACTATTGGAATCAAATTCCACTGACACATGTAAATCGAATTTAGAGTAGAGTATAACACCTCTTCTGGTGAAAACTGTCCCCCATCGTTCTACATGGCGGTTGGTGCATAAAATGTAAATTTTATACTAGTGCACCACACTTACCCATAGAAATAGACAGTTTTATATAAGCAGTTTTGCTTGTTACTGCATCCTATTCACTTATATTCTCTTAAATGATAAATTGTAAATACTGATGTTCCCCTAAATAAAATACTGTTTAAACCAAACAAAAAAGACACGTTAAATCTCAAACGAGACTTTAAACTTTTTTCTTTCCCTTACATTTGAAGTGTTTTAGCTGCACCTTGTAAACACACCAACCACAGCAACTGGACAGAGAGACAGGTGATTGATCTGGTCGTAAAACACCTGGACCGAGATGATGATGGCGTCTTAACAAAACTGAACATAGCTATTGACTTCGTCTTGAAATATGACCTGGACTGTACGTATAATTCGATTTTAATCAATTGATATGATGAAAGAGTCCTAGTTTTTGTCCTTTCATCGCCCTTCGTAATCTGTATGGTTATATCGTGTACTGGAGATCAGCATGACTCCTCCCCTTGACGAAGTTAGAATCTGTCAAAGGAATAGGAGGTTTCGCGTCACGCAATAGGTGCCAAGTAGTTCCTTTAGAAACTGTCTTTGATCGGAGGGTGTCCGCTGACAGTTCTTATCGCTTTCTATATACATGTACCTTCAATATGAAAATACCGCCAATCCCCACCTCTGGTCTAAGGCTATTTTGGAATCCTTACCGACTATTTTTCACCCTGATTCTTCTTTGTTTGCAAAAGGAGTCATTTCTTGCCACAGCTGATACACATTTATAATAATTCAACACTATTATCAAGCAGAAGTTTGCGATTATAAACATACACAAAATACGTTTAAACTGACCAGCCATTACGAGACTCGAACATGCGTAGACCGCATATTTATTTAATCGCTAAATTCTACTTAAACATAGTGTTGAATTATCATAAATGTATGTCAGATATGACCAGAAATGATCCCTTTTTGTGAAAAATAAACATTCTGGGTGAAAAATGGAAGGTAAGGATTCCAAAATAGCCTGAGAAAAAGGTGGGGAAGAGCGGTATTTTACCGTATTTTCATATTGCAGCTATATATAAAGCGACAGGAACTGTCAGCGGACATCGTCCTATAAGAGACAGTTCCTAAAGGAAGTAGGTGCCAAGGGGAGTTGCTCTTTCGTGGGAGCCACTACGGTCGCTCAGTGAATACGGGTAGGTAGCCAGTGGGTGTCGAGGAAATGGACGTCAGGTAATTTAATTTTACAGACAAATGAAGGAAAGTTGCTTTTATCGTGGAAGCCAATACGGTCGCTCAGTGAATAAGGCGCTGACTCGCTTACCAAGAGTTTAGTTCCCGGGTTCGATCCAGATATTGACCGAGAAAGTTCATCAGTCCGGTGTTGTTCCATCATGTCAGTGGTGCAGTGGTGTGCACGCAAAAGAACCATTGACTGAATTCGTAACAAGAGTAAACTGTATAGTCGCCCGCCTCATTCGCAGAGATTCGTTTCATTTCGTTGCATATGAGCTTCAATAACTCGTCATGTGTTGATGTCTGGCCACAATTTCCCTTATAACACACTGCATGGCGTAGTATGTCGGTCTTCATCAGCCCGGTCGGTGTAGAAAAGTAGGAAGTTAAAAAAAACACTCCACTTCATGTCATTTTCTTGTGTTGATAAAACTCAATTAATTTTCTTCCTCTTCACGTAGTCCAAAATGGGGTAGAGAAGAAAGAATTTATCACTCAATGGTTCAAAACCTATCATGATGAGAAAGCCTTCGCTGAACATGTCTTCAAAAACCTGGATTTGGATAATTCTGGAAGCTTGGACACGGTTGACGTTGAGCTTTTGGTCACGAAAGTTGATACTGATGGTAAGTATTGGAAGGGACCATCATCATCATGTAATCATCATAATCACCATCATCATCATCATTAATCATTATTCATCATTCAACATCACCATTCATCATCACCAAGCATCATCATCATTAAACATCACCATCATCATCATCATTATTATCATCATCATTTACCACAACCACCACAACCACCACCATCATCATCATCAGCAGCAGCAGCAGCATCACCACCAGCATCAGCATCATCATCACTTGTTGATGTGGTTCGTGGTTGTGCTTTGGTAACTATAGCATAGTGGTTTGGGGGCACGGAGTGGGGAGGTAATGGTTTGGCTGAACACCAATGGATGATTAATGTTGCACATTTGCACTTCTGAAATAATTTTGGTGATTGATAGACACACTCGTATTCTTTGCTTACGATTATCAAGCCAACAACTGTACTAATGGAACAATGATGTAGACGTTGTGCTTGGTAGATATTCAACAGTTCAGCTTCTGGAACAATGATGTTGGCGTTGTGCTTGGTAGACATTCAACAGTTCTGTTTCTGTTACAATAATGTTGGCGTTGTACTTGGTAGACATTCAACGGCCCCCCTCCCGTAACAATGATGTTGGCGTTGTGTTTGGTAGACATTCAACTCTTCTGCTTCTGGAGCGATAATTTGAACATTGGTGTGGATGTTTCATATATATGTCATCCTACAACAAACTGATTTAAGCAAGTTAATTACGATTTTTATTTCTATTTTTTAAAAAAAAAACTACAACTTTATTTTCAGCCGATGGTTTGGTTACTACGACTGAGTTCAGAGAATTTTTACTTAATGTAAGTGATTGGTGTATTTCATCTTTAATGGGTTTAAAGGGGGTGTCCAAGATTTCACAGGGCACGATAAATAAAAGTGGGTTTAACATCAAACTGCAAAATATGACTCGTTAACCTATTATCTGAGCGTGAAATTCTAATCAAAACAGTATCTGGAAGATTTGTTATATAAGCCACGTTTTGGGTGATGCGAGGGATTAGCCAATGAAACGGTCTGTTACGACGAGTTCTTGGCGTGCAATGCACGGAAAGGTGGGTATCCCACTAGGAACATCAACGCTGGTTGGTTAATCAAATGTCTGACGTCATAGGGTCAAAAACCGCTCATATGATCCCTGACACAACCTTCCACCACAACTGGTCAGATCTTCCTGTAGTGGAGGACATCGAAGTATAAAAAAACGAAACGAAATATATATCTGTATTTAATCAGATTGTTATGTGACAAATATGATGAATTCTAGTCACTTGATAAACGTTTTACCAGTTTTAATCACTACACTATATCTGGGAAATAAAATGAAATGAAATGGGGTTTAACGTCCTACTGTTCTGCTCCGACTGGGTTAATGAAGACGGGCATACGCCATACAGTGTGCTATGAGGTAAATTTTGCCCGGACAGTGGCGCTACGGCCTACTCTTATATCGAATTCCAACTGCAAAGGGATCTTTTACGTGCACTCAATGTATACACACGACCTCGGCTGTTCGTCCCATCCTAACGACTAGGCAGCTGTCCTTGTCAGGCCCTCCGTCCCGCATCACTGACAACGAGAAACCACGCCGGAAAATCCCGATGAACTTTCTCGACCAACTCCGGGATCGAATCCGCGACCTCCAGGCTAGCAAGCCAGGGTCTTGCTGACTTAGCTCCAGATCAGCCAGGGTCTTGCTGACTTAGCTCCAGATCAGCCAAGGTCTTGCTGACTTAGCTCCCGATACAACTTTGTGGATTTGGATTCGATAAAATGTGATGAAAATGATTTTAAGTTTATATTAAGGATAAACTAACCTTCTGTTTTAATTCTTTTCTATTACAGATCTACAATGCTTGTTAAAATGGTTGATATCCGAGGATAAGATTCTCATTGATAAATGTTTTTTTTAATTATAAGCCTTGGTTTATTTTTGTTGGTTTGGTATGCCTAAATAGATATGAAATGGGGTTTAACGTATTACTTTTCAACACCTGCAACTCGGCTAATGAAGACTGACACAAACGCTGGATAACCGAATGGTTAGCGCGTGCGCGTTGTATCATAAGGTCTTTCATTTTATCATAAGATCTTATTTTAAAATGTAACCAGGGTTTACATTGGTTCACATTTCACAGCTATATAGTATGCATGTAGCAATTGATGGTGAAGGGGGTTGGATGGCCGAATGGTTAGTGTGTGCGCGCTGTATCATAAGGTCTGTCATTGAGTCAGCTGGCGTGGCTTCGATTCCCCGGTTGTACGTGACAAGGAGTAGGGCCGCCCGTCCAACCTCGTTGGTTTTCTCCGGGTCCTCCAGTTTCCTCCCACTGCTAAAGTCCCCTACGCGCAAGCGAATTATTGAAATAAAATTCAACCGTGTGTTAGTCCCGAAATGAACTAGTTTGTGTGTCGAGTGGACTTTAAACCTCATTACTCTCTCTCTCTCTCTCCCCAAAGCCGAGCTTAACCAGAGCTGGGCCCTGGGCCTGACTAGAATCGCGTGGCCTCTAAAGCGACGAAAAGATTATTTTATATCCTTTTTGAATGGCACGCATGCGTAACACACAATTAAACAGTCTGTAATACAAGAATAATTATATAATATCTGATCACATACGAAATCTATTCAGTTCCCAATGGCATACAATGCGTGGAAATGACATATAACTTCACAGAGAAGGTGAAACTTTCATCATCTGGAATTTGAATTTTTTCTCTTTTTGCCATGAATCGCTAAGCCCTCTAAACCGCGGGGCACTGGTCCTGGGCCCCTCAGTCCCATGCCTAAGCTGGGCTTTGTCTCTCCCTCTCTCACCCTAATTAAATAAGCCGAGACATCCTAATTATATAAATTATATCCTAATTTTTTCAATTCTTTAACGTCCACGCAAGCGTGTAAATGGCACCTATGTTTTTCGTCCCATCCGAATGACTAGACAATGTTCCTTGTCAGGTCCCCCGTTCTGCATCACTGACAGGGAGAAATCACGCTGGAAAATCCCGGGGAAATTGCTGCCAACACCGAGATCGAACCGCATTCCTTTTGGTTAGTGAGCCAGCGTCATACTCACGTACCCACTGTGGCCCCATCCTAATTATAACTGAGCGCAACACTCTAGACCACTAGGTCACTCCAATGCCCCAAATCAGCAGTCACCACGTCCCAGCAGTGTGAGAAACAAGGTCTTATTCAAAATTAGAAATGCTGCAAAAAATGAACATAATTTTTAATAAAAAGACAAAATCACCTGTTTTGTCTCCCAGTAACGTAACATGTTCACGTGATGCACACTCAAAACAGTTACATAAAAGAAGACTACATCGAAGCAGGAAAGAATACTTATCCGTTTCTTAACTTCAGCGTTAGAATACAGCAGGTAAGAATACTTATCCATTATTTAACCTCAGCGTTTAAGATGTGACCTAAAACAATGAAAAGGGGTTTTATGGCACGTCAGTTTCAACTGGGATATACTGCACCAAAGGCAACACAATGAAGTAAAATGGGGATTTAACGCCTCACTTTTCTGCAACAACTAGCCTACTGAAGACAGCGTATGGAGGATATTTGGACCGGACATTGACGTTTTCTCCTAACTCTCATCGTATTCCGACTGCCAAAGGTTCTTTTAGGGGCACGTCAGTGAGCACGGGACCAACCAGAATAATGAAAATGAAATGGTGTTTAACGTCCTACTGTTCTGCTCCTAAACTGGGCTAATGAAGACGGGCATACGCCATACAGTGTGCTATGAGGGAAATTTTGCCCGGGCAGCGGCGCTACGGCCTACTCTTATATCGAATTCCAACTGCCAAGGGATCTTTTACGTGCACGCCAATATGTACACGGGACCTCGGGTTTTCGTCTCATCCGAACGACTAGACAGCTGTCCTTGTCAGGCCCTCTGTCCTGCATCACTGACAAGGGGAAACCACGCCGGAAAATCTGGATGAACTTTCTCGGTAAATGCAGGGATCCAACACCCGACCTCCAGGCTAGCGAGCCAGCGTCTTACCCACGTGATCCCCCCAGAATAATGAAGATAGGCAGACGAGATGCAAAGTGCTAAGAGGGTTATTTTAACTGTTTTTAGAATTCCAGCTGCAAAAGTTCTTTTGACCTACGTGGCAATATGTGCACGGAACCTCGTTTTACGTTCAGACTGAACGATTCGACATTGTTCCTTGCCGGACTACCCCGATCTGTTTTACAGAGTTAATACGACAGCCGTCTTTTATCTCTGTCCAAGATGACTGATCTTTAAAAGGTCAGACCGCTATAGTTCTACGGGTGACGTCACATCATAATGTTTACCAACAAATTAAGATGGCGTTGAAAAACCCGTCGATTAAGTTTAAAAAACTATATGAAGAATCCTTAATCCATAATAAGCGGCGTTCAGTACAACGGGAAAATAATCCAAATGTTTCAAAAGCAAACAAACTGAAAAAAACGTCAAATTGTTGTTTACATCGAACGTACGGGCAGAATTATATCTTTTTTACCAATTTACGCCTCCGCTTACTATTTTCTGTAACTATTTACGCTAAATATGGAATATTTTCTATCCAGATATACTTCAAACACCTTTATTTATTTTTCTAATACTTCAAAAAAATGTTTTAGAATTTAATTTGTCGGAAGAAAAAAGTTAATATTTGTGACTCATTAAGTCGCGTCGATGTCATCCTTATCAGTGACTGTAGCGTCCAAGCGAATATTCACTGCGGATCAGTGTGGGATTACCCGTCCTACGCCATTAAAGATAATCCAGGAATCCAGACTGTAAAATTCCGAGGAGGTTTCAAGGTCAACAATGAGATCGCACCAAGAAGCTCATGGATAGTCAAAGATCAATATGAGCTACTCGTTTGTGGACCGGAGATCCCTTCGATGTTATTTTAAGTAATTTAACTAAACTCTACTCGCATCAGACATTCCGTCTGTGGACCAGCGATCCTTTCAGTATTATTTTAACTAATTTAAATAAAGCCTACTTGCACCACCCTTTCCGCGAATCGTAGCCTAGAAATCTAATCCATGGGGGAGATGTCATTTCCATACAAGAAATTGATCCTAGGATTGGGATTAACCACAAGCACAAATCCAAAATTGAAGATATTTGTGATTTGGGATGGAGAAAGAGAGAGAAATGGGGTTTAACGTCCACTCGACACAAACTAGGTCATTTCGGGACTAACATATGGTTTAATTTTATTTCAATAATTCGCTTGCGCATAGGGGTCTTTAGCAGTGGAAGGAAACCGGAGGACCCGGAGAGAACCCACGAGGTTGGACAGGCGACCCTACTCCTTGTCACGTACAACCGGGGATTCGAAACCACGCCAGTCGACTCAATGACAGACTTTATGATAAAGCGAGCGCACGCTAACCATTCAGCCATCCAACCCCCCGATTTGGGATGGGGTTGACACTTGTTGTTTATTAAAGATTTAACGTCCAATACAATGAATATGATATTATGGACAGGTTGATTTAATTAAATTATTTACACTTGGAAATAGTTAAAAGCACAAAATAAAAAGGTCCTCGGAAACCAAAAGTTTCTTAAAGCACACTTATAAATTCGCTGTAACAGGAGGTCCAACAGACTGATGTTTGGCGTCATCAGAGCGGATAGAAAAAAAAACCCGTTGGGAAAAAAGAATCCGCTGGCTTTATGTGGAAAAGCGAAGTGCTCGCAGTAAAAACCACATAGCTGGACCCGTAGATTATTTACATATGAAAAGTGTTCGTCCAATAAGTTCCATGTTGTTAAAAATTAACTAAGAGTTCAAGACTTCAAGTTTAAAAGTTGTAGGCATTCCATTAGAGTTTTCCTTGCGTATGGCTCTCCACAGATAAAAAGTTACCCGAAAAGAAAAGCACCCGCTCTTTGTTGTATAAAAGTAGGAAAATATCTCTATCTTAGTGAAATGAAATGTGGTTTAACGTCCTACTGTTCTTTTCCGACTGGATTAATGAAGACGGGCATTCGTCATACAGTGTGCTATGAGGAAAATTTTTCGTACCATCCAAACGACTAGACACCTGCCCTTGTCAGGCCCTCCGTCCTGAACCACTGAGAAGGAGAAACCACGCCGGAATATCTGGATGAATCTTCTCGGCCAATGCAAGGATCGAACACGCGACCCCCAGGCTAGCGAGTCAGTGTCTTACCCACTTACCCACCGTGGCTCCAGGAGATAGATAACATCCCTGTTGGAAGAGGGAGAGTTCAATTTACCCATTTCTATATTTCGAGACGTGGTTTCGAATCCCCGGTTGTACGTGACAAGGAGTGGGTTTTCTCGGGTCCTCCGATTTCCTGCCACTGCTTAAGACCCCTACGCGCAAGCAAATTATTGCAATAAAATTAAAACCATATGTTAGTCCCGAAATGACATAGTTTGTGTCGAGTGGACGTTAAACCCCATTTCTCTCTCTATATATATATTTCGAGAAAGAAACGGAATAGTTCCATGTTGAGTAAACATTATTTGCTTGCCTTTTCAAAGTTCCCTTTCCACTGATTATAAAACGGTAGGACGTTAAACCCCATTTCATTTCATTTCGATTATAAAACTATAATAAATGGTAATTATATTTTCAGAAAAATATGAGGACCTTTGTTATTTTAGTGGCTGTATTAGGCTGGTAAGTTTCTTTTGTTTTTGGTCCAGGATCATGGTTCTCAAGCTCTACGGATGTCGTTGTTCGAAAATCTGCCTAAGGATCGGTCACTTCGTGTTCGATCGACATGAAAATTGTCCTGCTTGTTCCTTGGACAATTGCGCATTAATTGGCAGAGTTCGATCATTGATAAAACGTAACAATTCCAAGATGGCTGCGACGAGGTCTTAGTCAGGTCATGGTTCATATATAGCATTCTCCCATGCAAGTTTCGCTATCCAGCATTAGTGTGAACTGCAACGGAAGACAACTATGCTTGGAAGATAGGGTCCATAGAACGATAGTACTTGTTATACGCCCATGTGGACGTATATTGTCGTCGCCCCCGTCAGTCCGCCCGTCCGTTCGTTCACATTTGTTTGTGGACACGCTACAGGTCATAACTTTAATCCAATTTTGATGACGCATTGGCCGAGAAAGTTCATCCAGATTTTCCGGCGTGGTTTCCCCTTGTCAGTGGTGCAGGACGGAGGGCCTGACAAGGAGAGCTGTCTAGTCGTTGGCATGGGACGAAAAACCGAGGTCCCGTGTATACATTGGAGTGCACGTAAAAGATCCCTTGGCAGTTGAAAGTCGATATAAGAGTAGGCCGTAGCGCCGCTGCCCGGGCAAAATTTCCCTCATAGCACACTGCATGGCGTATATCCGTCTTCATTAGCCCAGTTTAGGAGCAGAACAGTAGGACGTTAAACCCATTTCATTTCATTTCATTTCAATTTTGATGAAACTTTAAATATAGGTTTATCTCCCACAGATCTCGGTTCCTTTCGATATTGGGATGTATCGGACCGTAAATTTATGGATTATGGCCCCTGATTGTACGAAAAATACCGTGTGTAGCTTGTGGACACTAGATTTTGATGAAACTTAAAAAGTATGTTCACACCCAAAGATCTCGCGCATATCAAGCCGTTACTTCCTGGATTATGGCCCTTGAACAAAACTGCCCGACAAAATGGCCGCTCCCTCTAATCAAATAGTGTTAACGTATGTAATATCAAGGCTGTGGCCCCTCTAAGGGTCATAATTTGGTCCGATTTTAATGAAACTTAAAACATGGATATATATCACAAAGACCTCGGTTCTTTTCGATTTTCGCGCAGATCGTTAAGAAAAATCAAGATTTTAGCTTGTGTACCCCCAAGAGGTCACAATTTTTATCCGATTTTAAAAGACGTTCGAATAATATCATTGTTACACCATAAGGAAGGCTGAAATTGAATTTTGATGAAACTTAAAATATATCGAATCCTTTCGATATTCGCGCATTTCAGACCATAATTTACTGGATTACGGCCCCTGATTGTACGAAAACTCACATTTTTAACTTGTGGAGCCTCTAGAGGTTGCAACTTTTATCTGATTTTAAAAACCGTTTAAAAATTTCACCGTTACACCATAAATCGAAATCGAAATGAAAATGCCCGACAAAATGGCCGCTCTTTGTACGCAAATAGTGTAAAAATATGTAACACAATTTTCGTCCGATTTTGATGAAATAGCGTATTTGTTTTATTTCAGTTGTCTAGCTGACCCCTGTAACCATAATAACCATGCTGATTTAACTGAAGAACACGTCATCAGCATGGTGGTCGCTGATGCAGATCATAATGATGATGGGTTGATCACAGAGATTGACGTGGCTGAATATTTTATCGTTAATTTTGATCATAACAGTAATTTCTTCTTTTTTATTTTCTTCAAGAGTTTTCCAGCCCTTTTGTGATCAGTTCACAAAATATAGCTTTGCATAGATTAAACCAGACAGCCTCCGAAATCGTCCGAAACTCAATCTTTTTAAAATACAGATATTTCGGTTTTTTTTTGGTTTTTTTATACTTTCGATGGCCTACAGTACATGAAGATCTGACCGGTTGTAGTGGAAGGTCGCGTCAAAGGTCATACGAGCGGCTTTTGACGCTATGACGTCAGACATTTGATTAACTAATCAGCATTTATGTTTCTAGTGGGTTACCCACAGTTCTGTGCACCTCACGCCAAAAACTCGCTGTAACAGGCCGTTTCATTGGCTAATAGCTCACATCATTCAGAACGCGGATTATATAGCAACTCTACCAGATCCTAGTGTAGTAAAGACAAGTAAAATGAAATGAAATGTTGAATTATAAAAAACGAAAATAATTATTATCCGTGTTTTAATCATATTAATGAAAATTATAAATTTAACTATATGTTGAACTATAAAAAACGAAACGAAACGAAATAGAAAGCGTGTTTTAATCAGATTGTCAAAAACTACTTTTCTCGGTAGAGCCTTTACTGGCCCCACAAACCATCAGAGACGCGTAAATAACTTTGAACTATTCAAAATTCCATTTACCATGATAACTGCGCAAAAGTAATGATAACAGCAATGAATTAACGAATTCGAAACCGGAAAAAATACAAGAGTACCGCAATGTGCCGTCTTTCATCGGGATCGCAATGCACCTCTCCACGATCCTTTTTAAATATTTTAAAATACTTAATAATGTATCTCAAATCTTCTGTTCCAGGATACGTGAGCATGGCTTTCATGCGAACCCTGCCTGTAAATCTCACTTGAACCCTTGCATGAGCGGGGTTATTGCGGGGTGCTTCCCCCCCCCCCCCGCGGTTGCCTTACGACAGCAGCGATAATTACATGCCCCACCCAATCTACACATGTTAAACTCTACCGTAACATATGACAGTTTTGTTATGGTGCTAATTTTTTAAAAACATACTTTCGGAGCCCCCTTGCATATTGGCGCCCTTGGCTATAGCTCAGTCAGCACCCCGCTTACTCCGGTCCGGGTAGTGAGAGTGGGGTATTGGGAGTGGCCTCGCCGGTGGAGAAGTTAATACTTCTCTTCATCTAAATCTTGGGGTAGGGGGTGGCCGAATGGTCAGCGCGTGCGCATTGTATCATAAGGTCTGTCATTGAGTCAACTGGCGGGGTTTCGATTCCCCGGTTGTACGTGACAAGGAGTAGGGTCGCCTGTCCAACCGTGTGGGTTTTCTCCGGGTCCTCCGGTTTCCTTGCCACTGCTAAAGACACTTACGCGCAAGCGAATTATTGAAATAAAATTGAACCATATGTTAGGCCCGAAATAACCTAGTTTGTGTCGATTGGGCGTTAAACTCCCTCTCTGTCTCTCTCTCTCTCTCACTCTCTCTAAACTGCCCCCTCACAGTTTGTGTAATCTTTTCTAATTTTGTATTATAAGGGAACCAGAAAGTAGAAGAAGACGAATTTGTTCGTCAGTGGCACAATTCATTCCATGATGCAGAAGCTTTTGCCCAGCACGTTTTCCATCATATTGATACTGATGATAATGGTGTACTGGATCTCCATGATGTCGACCCGCTCATTAAACGGGCCGATACTTCAGGTAGGATTCAATATGGCCCATTGATTACATTTAATATAACATTTCGCTAAATGGGATATAAAGCCCTACGTTTCTGTGACGCCAGGGGCAATAAAAACAGGCGTTTCTAGCTACTCTTCGTCGAAGGGATCTTTTTATGTGCACGCTGATGATCTGCGAGGAACTCTCTCTCGGTCAACACCGGGTATGATCCTGGGACCTACTGGTCAGGGAGCCAGCGCCTTACTTACCGATCAGCATTTAGCTAACAACCGAGCATATATGAAGTTTGAGGTAAAAGGCGCCAGAAGTTTCGAACTATATATGGTAATCTTTTTCTGCTCTTGTTTTTGGGGCTACATTTTACGAAAGGACCTACGGCTCTGTCCCCGCTAATTCGAGTACGTGTACACGTTGGCGTGCGCGTAAGAGAAGCCTTGACAATTGGAAATCGATATAAGACTAGGCCATAACGCCGCTGTCCGTGCAAATTTTCACTCATAGCACATTGTATGGCGTATGCCCCTCTTCTTTAGCTCAATTGGAGCAGAACAGTAGGACGTTAAACCCCATTTCTTTTCACTTATACGATCGACATGACATTTGGTCTGTGGACATTTCATATCGTTTGACAATCTGTTTTACAGACCTAATGCGACATCCGTCTTTTATATTGTAGAGGCCAAGCGAATATTCACTGCGGATCAGTGTGATCGTTTGACGGATTCCGGTTTTTGATATGACGTCACAGTTCCAAGATGGCTGCGATGACGCCATTGACCATAATATTATAGATTCATGGGTTCCGATTTCAATTTGTCTTTAAATGAGTAAATAATTTTATTCCTTGTTAAATATAAATCGAATCTCTTGGTCTCACCCGTTTTGTAAGGTACGCCAACATCAAAGGATGACGTCAGATCTGTATTTCAAGACGTTATATTAAAGATACATTATGAGAGACTAGATAAAGAGCTGGTAGTTCTCACTATAATAGTTATAAACTAGATAATGTAAAGGGAATTTGCTGAAAATTTGAGTCAAATTGATCCACTCTGAACCGATTATCCATTTTTTTATTTAATCATGAATGAGCGTTGAGCAGCAAATTGGATCCTGATCCAGTAAATATCACAGGCTAGCGATAACATCGAGAGTTAATTATGGTCTGGATAAGTTAAAAAAAAATGTCTAATTAATAATTTAGATAACATTTCAGGCCTAAAAAAGACCTGCAATAGGCAGATTGAGCTCTTGCATAATGTATGTTTAAGGCCTAAAGAAAGACCTGCAAAAGGCAGATTTAGCTCTTGCATAATTTATGTTTAATCACAGTGTTCTATATAATTATAGGTGATGGAAACATCCAGATTGCAGAATTCAAGGCTTACCTTAAAGCAGTAAGTACACGTACCTTGGCCACTCGGTTAGTCGGGATTATGGGTAGGATGAAGCACGAGACTGAGCTTATGTTGGGGAAAGAAAGACTGAAGAAAATAACCCGAGTCTTTCTTCCCCAGCATAATCTCAGTCGAGGACTTTATCTTGCTTATAAACCTGTAACGGTAAATCTCTTTGATCTTTGGAGTATATTCTATGCCTGGAATAACTTGCGGTCTGAAAGTCGGGGCGGCTTTGGATATATACAGGGGAATTTGGGGTTATTCTTCTGAAAGTTTTTCTTTAAACCTGTAACGGGTTATTCTTCCAGGGTAGAGTTTTTTTCCCATAAGAAAACATGATATAAGGTTTTTCTTATGGGAATTCTGGGATATTCTCATCTTGCGTACATGTAAACATAGACGGTTTATAAGCAAGATAAAAACCTCGATTCGGTTATGCATGGAAAGAACGATTTCAGAAGAAAAAAAAACTCGACAGAAAACCTCGGCCTGGCGGCCCCGGTTTTTCTTTTTCTCGGGTTATTTTCTTCAGTCTTTCTTTCCCCAGCATAACCTCAGTCTCTTACTTTATCCTACACTTATAAACCGCCTACGTTTACATGTACGCGTACGTAAAATAATAATATCCCAGAATTCCAGTAAGAAAACCCCAACAATGAAGAATAGCCCTTTACAGGTTCAAAAAGAAAAACTATCAGAAGAATAACCCCAAATACACCTATATTCAAAGGCGCCCCGACTTCCTGGCCGCAAGTTATTCCGGGCATTGAATATTCCCCAAAGATCAAAGAGATTTATAGGTTTATAATAAAGGGAGGAACAACCTCGCCCCGTCTTTCAAACCGATGTGTGGGGATGGGAGGTGGGATGGTCATTAGTCTGTTAGTCCCGATCTTGTACGAGACCAGGATAGGGTCACCTGTATACCCGCTTGTGTTTTCTGTGGATTTAACACCCCACGCCATTCTTTAAGAACTGTTTCTGATCGGACGATGTCCGCTGACAGTTCCTATTCGTTCCTATATAGCTGCAATATGAAAATACCACTCTTCCCCACCTCTGTTCTAAGGCTATTTTAGAATCATTACCGACTATTCTTCAACGCGATTCTTCTAGGTGAGTGGGGTCGCGTGTACAACCGGATCCTCCGGTTTCCTCTCACTGCTAAAGAAACCCCTACGCGCAAGCGAATTATTGAAATAAAATTGAACCATACATGTATGTTAGTCCCGAAATGACCTAGTTTGTGTCGAGTGGACGTTAAACACCATTTCTTTCCAATCTGATTAAAATACAGATCTATATTTCGTTTCGGTTTTTTATACTTTCGATGGCCTACACTACATGAAGATCTGGCCAGTTCCCTGGAAGGTCGCGTCAGGGCTCGTATGAGCTGCGTTTGACTCTATGACAACAGACATTCATTAATCAATCAGCGTTGATGTTAATAGTGGTTTACCCACAGTTCCGTGCATCGCAGGCTAAGAAATCGCCGTAGCAGATGGTTTCATTGGCTAATCCATAACGCCATCCAGAGCGCAGATTATATAACAACTCTTCCAGATCCTAGTGTAGTAAAGACAAGTAAAACGAAATTTTGAACTATAAAAAACGAAACGAAATAGGATCTGTGTTTTAATCAGAATGATTTCTCTCTATAAATCTGAGTCATCTTTATCTGCTCTAAATCTTTTTATTGTTATCTTTCCAGATATATAACGCCTGTTGAGAAAACAGCATATTGTGATAACATTTATATATAGAATTATTTAGTTTAATAAAAGTTAGATAACGCTGTGTTTAAACTCTTGATTGTTGGTTAGGAATAGGGGAGTAAGAGATCTTAGGCCCGATCTTTATCGGGATTTTCCGGCGTGCTTCCCCTGCAGGTCCGACCTTGGTGTTGGGTGAGAAACTTTATCGGGATTTTCCGGCGTGCTTCTCCTGGTCATTGGTCCTAGGCGGAGGGTCTGGCAAAGTACAACGTACAGTCGTTCGGATGGTATGAAAAACCGAGGTCTGTGTACACATTTTGTACATATATATGTTAGCGGTTGGCCCGGCGTAGCACAGGTCTAGCATAACTCCCAAACCGGAAGTGGTAGGCCATCTATACAACTCTGTGTTACTGCCCGGTCCGAGCCACCCCTATACCCCAAACGAGAAATATATAAAAAAGTCCGTGCATTACCATATTAGGTATAAAATGACTATTTCTATTTTCCCCCGTTTTTCCTTATCTAGTGACATTCAATTACTTTTTTGAATATAACAACTTTTGGTCTTCAAAGGAATTATTAGTGAGCAGAAATTTTCCCGTGTATATGTTATCACTCGTCACATCAGTCAGTTATATAGAAGGATAACTCGTGTTTTCCTTTTGCGTTCGTCACTTCCCTGTCTTGAAAGCTTCATAACGCATCTATCGTAGCAATGATCGCTGTGTTAACATTATATTTGGAATGTGTTTAACCAGTTCTATCACATATTGTCCTTTCAGTACGTGTGATTTGACTCCATAGAAGGTGTAAGCAAAATAATTAGTTATAGTTAAAAATACAATATGGCCGCAAGGACCATAGTATTACACATGCCTTCCGTTCTGCCAAGGACCATAGTATTACAATAGGACGATGGTGTATTGGAGAGTCGTGCATACACTTGTGGCGAATCAACAGTTTCGGATCCTTGAAGCTTAAATGATCTAAATCGCTAATATTTGGGAGAGAGAGAGAGAAATGGCGTTTAACGTCCACTCGAGACAAACTAGGTCATTTCGGGACTAACATAAGGTTTTAATTTTTTTCAATAATTCGCTTGCGCGTAGGGGTCTTTAGCAGTGGGAGGAAACCGAAGGTCCCAGAGAAAACCCACGAGGTTGGACAGGCGACCCTACTCCTTGTCACGTACAACCGGGGATTCGAAACCACGCCAGTTGACTCAATGACACGTGCTAACCACTTGACCATAACCCCCCCCCCCTAATATTTGGGACCCAGAAACTGACACAAATGGGTGGCAACGCATATAATAATGTAATATGAATGTACGGTATATAAACTGATTTACATTCAATCGTTTCCGTTTTTAATCTAATTTCAAATCAGTTATGTTCGGCGAAATACGTTAGAAGTCTCAATCGAATAGCAATCTCTAACGTCTGGTTATTCCAGTCTACACAGACAGTATCTATTGCGCATGCTTTCCAGATAAGAATATGACGTCATCGTTTGACATGACTTTGGAATATGTCTAGCCTCGTTCTTCGAGTCCCTTGTTAAATGGCGCTGAAACGCATTATGGTACAAAATGTTTATTTTGTCTTAAATATTGGATATTGGAAGCCCATCTTTTCCCGGTAAGATAAGAACATCAAAGTTTATTTAAATTGACAAATAATTCGTGTTTTCATTGTCCAAGACTTTGGATGATATTGACTTAGAGGCTTAGCTACTTTAAAACTTTATGGGGGTTCTTCGAGCTGCAATGAGATCCCGGTAACCACTGCTGTGTTCGTCAGTAGGGTTATTCCATGACAGAATGAAAAGAAAAACGACATTAATTTAAAACTCTACTAATTCAATAGGATCTTAATTCCTAAATCCTGATTCTACCTGGATTACTACCATAGGCACTTAAGTCCTGACCCTACCTGAGATATTACCAGGACACTAAATCAATAGGAACTCTACCTGAGATAATACCAGGACACTAATTCAGTAGGAACTTGAGTCCTGACCCTACCTGAGATATTACCAGGACACTAAATCAATAGGAACTCTACCTGAGATAATACCAGGACACTAATTCAGTAGGAACTTGAGTCCTGACCCTACCTGAGATATTACCAGGACACTAATTCAATAGGAATTTGAGTCCTGACGCTACCTGAGATATTACCAGGACACTAATTCGATAGGAACTCTACCTGAGATATTACCAGGACACTAGTTCGGTACTAACTTGAGTTCTGACCCTTCCTGAGATATTGCCAGGAAACTTAGTCAATAGGGACCCATGTATGTTCCTGAAGTAACGATCCCGAGTTTTACAACATTAAGGAGTTGTTACACTGCTTTTCAATTCCCGAACTTAACTACTTTATCTTCCACGTGAACGGTAGCGTCCAATCATGGCAACCTCCACAGAAACCTTGGCATTGAACGAACCTTGAACTTTGCAAATCGATTATCACCTTTATATTTTAGCTGGTAGCGCGAGACTTGGTATTCGTGATGATCGAGGAATCTGATGGGCTCAGAATAAAGTATTTTGAATAAAATTTTCAATATACTGATTTTACATCTGATTTTGTCTGTACAGATTTCCACTTCGATTTATGTAGGGCCTAAAATAAGGTTAAATTCACGTAGTATGGATTCTGTGGGCGAAGCCGGAGGGGGTCTAAAAATGGCATCTATGGACTATTCTGGCGCAGATAGTACCGAAAATTCGTGAAAATTATCTAAAAAAAAAAAAACTTTTTCAAAGCTAAAGGGAAATGACGGTCAAGGACGCAGCAGATCGGTTACCTAGCCTACTGAAAAACCTGACTAATGAGCTGATGCGGTTGACGCTCACTCGACTCATCCGAGGGAGTCGATCGAGCGCCAGCTGATCCGATCTGTGCAAGTGACCACAACAAGAGGAAACACCCATCCTTAAAGGTTTTCAGAGCACTACACCATTTTTTTCTTATTTTCGAAGCACGGATTTTTCATTTCGAAGCACGTTCGTGCGCCAAAGCACGTTATTTTAGGTCATGGATGTGAACTGGCGTCGCTTCATGAAAATGAAGTAGATTATTATAGTAGATCCGCACCTATCTTACACGTCCAATCAGGTCATACATATAGGCTACATCACCCTTCAGAAACAAACACAGATAACCGAAACCACCTGGATTGTTCCCAATGTCAGTATCTTCATATAAAAGGGAGACAAAAAAAAAATGTAGACGCTATCAAGGAAAAGTCAACCTTAAGGTAAGTTCGTGATACCGTTAGCCTTATATGGTGCAAACTGTAAAAAAAGGGAAAAAAAAAATCCAAAGGGAGATTTTTTTATGATATGAAATGAACTGAAATGAAATGAAATGAAATGGGGTTTAACGTCCTTCGGAGCAGAACAGCCCCATGAAATGAACTAAAATGGGGCTGTTCTGCTCCGAACTTGGGCTAATGAAGACGAAAATACGCCATACCCGGACAGCGGCACTACGGCCTACTCTTATATCGAATTCCAATTGTCAAGGGATCTTTTACGTGTACAAGGGGCCCCGGTTTTCATCCCATCCGAACGACTAGACAGCCTTGTTAGGCTTTCCGTCCTGCATCACTTACAAGGGGGAACCACGCCGGAAAATCTGGATGAACTTTTTCGGATATGCAGGGATCGAACACCCGACCGCCAGGCTAGCGAGCCAGCGTCTTACCCACTTATCCACCGTGTTCCCAATTTTTTTATGAAGCAGAATAAAAGATGCATTATGTAAATGCTAAATCTGCCTTTTTCAGGTCTTTATTTTGGCTTCAAACTGTTATTTAGATATCTATTAACATGGCAAGTCCTTGATCAATTCTTTAGACCACAACGACAGGGATTTAAATGCATTAAAACCACCGAGAGATTTTGGCTTCAAATTTGATATAAACTGTTATTTAGATATTCATAATAACACAACTTTATAGATTTACTACTTCTTGGTTTATTATATACAACGTTTCAATATTCTTACGGGTATCTTTATCAAACAATGATCAATAATGAATAACAACCTAACATTTATAGAGATGGGGATTTCTTATTCCAAGAGAATTGGTTGTTGTTTTAATGATACATTAGTTAAGAGTTTAATAAAGAGTTTGTCATTCTTGCTATAATAATTCAAAAATAGGTGATGAAAAAAGAAAATATTGAAATTTTCAGCCAAATTACTTCATTCTGAGCCAAATTATCACTGTTTATTGTTTTGACAAGATGAGTGCTCAGTGGTAACCAGGACACTGGTATATTCATGACTTAGCCTCCTTTCCCATTTTTAAATTTAATTTTTAAATGGCGAACCGTTCTAATCTAGTTAATCGAGAGTATCCGATTCCATCGAGAGTATCCGATGCCATCGAGAGTTGATTATGGTCTTGTTTTGTTAATAAATGTGTAATTAATAGTTTAAATAACATTTCAGGCCTACAGAAAGACCTGTAATAGGCAGATTTAGCTCTTGTATAATATATGTTTAAGTCTAAATTAAAGTTATGTTTTGATTGTTAAATTGTCTTACTCATGGATGTACTATAAATGTTAGGTTGTTATTCATTACTGGTCATTGCTTGATAAAGATACCTGTAAGATTACTGAAACGTTGTATGTAATAAACCAAGAAGTAGTAAATCCATAAAGTTGTGTTATTATAAATATTATACCTCTACTTCTAAATGTCATTTAAGGTTGTTATTAAGATATTTATTAACATGGCAGGCCCATTATCAATTCTTTAGACCATCCGACGGCAAGGATTTAAATGGATTAAAACCATCGAGCGATTTTTAAAAAATAGATACAGAGAGAGAGAGAGAGAGAGAGAGAGAGAGAGAGATGGGGTTTAACGTCCACTCGACACAAACTAGGTCATTTCGGGACTAACATATGGTTTAATTTTATTTCAATAATTCGCTTGCGCGTAGGGGTCTTTAGCAGTGGGAGGAAACCGGAGGACCCGGAGAAACCCCACAAGGTTGGACAGGCGACCCTACTCCTTGTTACGTACAACCGGGGATTCAAAACCACGCCAGTCGACTCAATGACAGACTTTATGATACAGCGTGCGCACGCTAACCATTCAGCCCCTCATCCCCCCAAGATAAAGTAGATAATCGAGACCTAGTCTCTAGTGTCAAGTACCGTTGCTACAATAATAAACAATCTACGCTACATCTTCAAACATTCATAACCTCGTTCAAAATAAAGTATTCAATAAATTAATTTTTCGTAATCTATTTTGGAACTATTATAGAAATGACCTTTACGAAATGACCTAGTTTGTGTCGAGTGGACGTTAAACCTTATTTCTCTCTCTCTCTTACATTATGCATCTTTATTCAACCGTTGTAAAAAAAGCTGTATTCATCTTGCTGTTGAGTATGTTTATTTCGAGCGGGTGTAAAGCCTTAAGTAAGTAGAAGAAGTTCGTTGGTGTTACGTTGTTGGTAATGTCAAAGAGCGGTCGACATGAAACGTGGTATCCTTGTACTTTGGACAGCTGTTCATTGAATTCCAAGATTGTGGCGGTTTCTAGTCCGTACACACGTACTTATTTTTAAAAAAAACTATTGAAAGATGAGAATAAAAAAGAATAAATTAATTAATGGATAATTGATCAATCGAAACAGAGAGAGAGAGGGGGAGGGGGTCTTTAGCATTGAGAGGAAACCGGAGGGCCCGGAGAAAACCAACGAGGCTGGACAGTCGATCCCACTCCTTGCCAGATACAAGCGGGAAATAAAAACCACGCTACTTGATTCAGTGACATACCTTAAGATCTAAGGCACACGAGTTGAACCATTCGGACACCCTTCCCCCTTCAATCGAAACAAAGAATATTAGAGGTATCTCATTGTTTAAATTTGATTTATTTACAGAATAAAAATCACCATGAAAGTTTTCGTTCTTTTTGCTGCTGTATTGGGCTGGTAGGTGCTATATTCATCTTCAAATATAATAATAATAATAATCCTCTATTTATATAGAGCAATAATACTAAAACAGAAATTTCTATTGCGCTTTTTCCCACCTTTTTTTTTAGCTGACATTGACCTTGACATTGAATGAACCTTGAACTTTGCAACTCGATTATCACAGGTAGACATTTTAACCTGAAAGCGCGAGGCTTGGTATTCGCGATGATCGAGGAATCTGATAGGCTCACAAGTTGGGCTTGTACCCAATCAAAATAAGTGTCGCAATATGCAGGGTATTATGTGAAGGCCTTGATAAGATGAACGTAGTTAAAGCGAGATCAAGCCTTCTATTGAAGATGTCGTCCCAACGGAACATCTGTACGTTGTCCCTTACCTGGCCCACCGAGAGAGACAAACCACGCCGTAGCAAATATCCCATTGCTGAAAAAAATTGATTCACTACTTTATAAAAAAAAAAATATATATATATAGAAGCAGTGGGTAAATACTGATAAAGATAGGGCGAGTTATTTGACCCTGAATCGGATTCAGAGCAGTTATTTTATAATCTCGATTACTTAGTCACAGATTACCAGCCACCCGTGTTAATAAATTGCTGTTGTTTTTAAGTCCTCGTCCAATCTGATTAAAACACAGATCCTATTTTTTATAGTTCAAAATTGCGTTTTACTTGTCTTTACTACACTAGGATCTGCGAGAGTTGTTATATAACCGGCGTTCAGGGTGACGTGAGGGATTAGTCAATGAAACGGTCTGTTACGGCGAGGTTTTGGCGTGAGGTTAACGGAACTGTGGGTAATCCACTAGTAATACTAATGCTGATTGGTTAATCAAATGTCTGACGTCATAGACTCACTTGCCGCTCGTATGACCTCTGACGTGACCTATCGCAACAACCAGTCAGATCTTCATGTAGTGTAGACCATCAGAAGTATAAAAAAAGACGAAACGAAATATAGATCTGTATTTTAATCAGATTGGTCCTCATCCGAGTACTCTCTGCCAAGGTTAAGGCGCAGACATACACCAGACTCACTCTTATGCAGAGCTCCCACTTAAAAAGTTTCTCTGTCGGTCATTTTTGAAAACACACGAAAACTTTGCAAATTAAATTCGTATTTCATGTTTTTTTATGGCAGGCTATCGTGAATTCGTGTGTCTAATCGTTTTGTCAGCAGGGTGTAAGACATAGTAGGGCTTATAATAATAATTTAGTAATGAAATATTCCCTTTGGCTCTTTAAATAGGCCTAGCTTTTATTATCGGAATTTCTTACTTGGTTAGAATCTTCGGTTCGCCAAAATTCAAGAACATTCTCAAAAACATTCAAGAACAGTTCCCCGAAACTTTGTAAATAGGTAACTTTGTCATTGGGCGTATTCTTTGATAGTCGAAAATTATTTTCTTTTGTAAGTTGCTTAGCAGCACCATGTGACCATGACAACGCCCATGATTTAACAGAAGAACATGTCATCAATATGGTTGTTGTTGCCATGGATACCGATGGCAATGGTGTTATCTCAGAGATTGACATATTGACTTATTTCATTGGACAATTTGATCACAACGGTAAGTATCCGTTTTAAAGGCGGGTTTGGTGAACCCTATCATTGAGTAAATTAATGAAATGAAATGGGCTTAACGTCCTACTGTTCTTCTCCGACTGGGCTATTGTAGACGGGCATACGCCATACAGTGTACTATGAGGGAAATTTTGCCACCGCAGCGGCACTATGAACTACTCTTATACGAAGGGATCTTTTACGTGCTCCCCAATGTGTACACGGGGCCTCGGTTTTTCGCACCACCCGAAAGGCTATACGTCGTCACTTGCTAGTGGCTCCAGAACTTTTTTGACCAACGCAGGGATCGAACACGGGACCGCCAGGTTAGTGAGCCAACGTCTTACTCACTTAGCCACCGTGGCTTCCCATTAAGTAAAGTGTCGTGGTTTAGATCCCAAGCAACCCTAACCACGTGGCTTTTGACCAGGTTTCCCAGTTTCCTCCAACTCCTAAAAGCCCAAACTTCCAATAGCCCCAACTCGCTAGCGAATTATTGAAATGAAATTGTACCATATGTTTATTTGGTTGACGGAATTTGATACACACCAATCAATGTATAGTTCAGCAGTACAGTGGTACTCTCTCGCGCGCGGGGTTGGGTGGCCGAATGGTTAGCGTGTACGTTGTACCAAAAGGTCTGTCATTGGGTCAATTGGCGTGGTGTCGATTCCCTCGTTGTACGTGAAAAGCTGTATGGTCGCCTGCCCAATCTCATGAGTTTTCTCCGGATCCTCCGGTTTCCCCCCACTGCTAAAGATACCTACGCTAAAGCGACTTATTGAAATAAAATTGAACCATATGTTAATCCCGAAATGACCTAGTTTGTGTCGAGTGGACATTAAACCCCATCTCTCTCTCTCTCTCTCTCTCTCTCTCTCTTAGATGACGGCGATGACGTCATGCTCTTTTCTTGTCCATAGGAAATTAAATATAATGAGGTTGTCACTCAAAATATTCATTGTTATTGTTTGTTTGTATTAAAGGTAACTTGCAGGTGGAATCCACTGAATTTGTTAAACAATGGCACGCCACCTTCCATGATTCTCCAGCTTTTGCTCTGCACGTTTTTCAAAGTATTAATACCAATAATGATGACCACCTTGGTCTCTCCGATGTTGATCCTTTAGTCGCCAGAGTTGACACATCAGGTAATTAAAAAAAACACCCGTCCACATGGGCCCGTAACTAAAGGGCGGGGGGGGGCTTCTGCAAAAATTTCGCCCCCCCCCCACCCCGCGTGAAAAGATTGTCGACCATAAAAAAATTCCACCCCTTTGAAAAAAATAATCGGTAGTGGATACTCAGTGTTTCCACTAATACGGTTTTTATCCAGATTCCTGGATTTTTCACCTGTTTCAGATCTTCAAATATAGGGTATTTTGGGGTTTTCTGGTCAAATTTTCTTCAAATGAGACCACGAAAATTGACCTATTTCTTCGGGGGTAAGACGTCAGGTTCGGGTAATAGTGATGGTTCGTCTGCATTATCGTGCTTGATTCAGGACCCAGAGTGCAGGAAATAGCGTTTCCGGTAGTCCAATTTTGAAAAAGGACCTCCCCCCCCCCCTTAAATATACATTGTCCATCATTTTTACAGCATCCCTGAGAACACTTCCCGCCTCCCTCGTTGCTCTGAGCTAGTTACGGCCCTGCGTCCACAGTAAACGATACGAAATGCCCCAGGTGCTATTTTCATTTCGTTCCGTGATAATGAAGACGGACATACACCATGCAATGTGCTATAAGGGATGTTGCATCCGGAGAGCGGCGCTGCGGACTACCCTTGTTTTGATAAAATGGACGATATATACTCTTCACAAAAAAGTAGGGGATATTCAGAAACAATACAAAACTGCGGAAATGTACTGCTGTTTTATTAGAGGTAACCAGTGTGTGTTAATAACATGCCAATTGCCTACACATGAACATAAATAGTTCATAGGGGCGGCTTATCTGTCGGCCCCATTTCACTCGCAAAGAGATACACTGTCAAAAGTGAAAATCGACGTTTTTGATTTTTGTCTTAATAATGAGTAATTGCTCCACCAATCCTCAGACATTCAGCAATTCGTCGTGGCATGCTCCTAATCAACCGTCCAATCACGATTTGGGGCAATCTGACCCACTCCTCTTGCAGTACCACGGTCAATTCTTGCAGTGTTGTCGGTTGACGTCGACGAACACGTCTCTTGACCAAATTAAACGTAACGCAGTAAAGCAAAGATACGCTAAACCGTAAATCTTATGCAGGAACCGATAGGAAAGCAAACATGGATAGATAAACCAGCACGCGGCAGTTTTCATCAACCCTTCCTTGAAGAGTCAAATTTGACAATGAACCCCTCCCACGTGTATGGCGCTATTGCGTGTCTCATGTACAGCTCAGTGGTTCTGTTGGGACGACAAGTTCTTCATCTGTGATCATACTCTCTAGGCATGTCAAATGTCCATGACTATTTTTATCATATCGCAACCTGCATAGGTATTTGCATTTCAATATCCACTACTTTTTTGAATAGTATATATCTCCTACTGCCGACTGGGGACGTGAAATGAATTGTCTAAAAATGCTACTATTAATAAATAATGGGTAGATCGTATCCTATAGTTTGTTTCCATGGAAACAGTCAGATCAAAAACTAGATTATGTCAGATGATAGTCTGGTTTTAACACTGGTATCCTATCGTAAGTTTCCAATGACACTAGGCTCCCATCGTTGGGTTCCATGGAAATGGCCACGGCAAAAGCCATTCGGTCACACTATACGGGTCCGGTTTTGACACTAGTCTCCTATCGTTAGTTTTCATGGAAATGGCCACGTCAAAAACCATTCGGTCACACGATGTATTTACAGTATCAGTCAAGTCATGTCTTATATTTCAGGTGATGGACAAATTCAAAATGGCGAATTCAAGACCTACCTTGAAGCAGTAAGTATCTGAACATTCAAGTACGGTTCAGTAGTGGACCCAGGATATTTGGTTTAGGTGATGTCTCTGCCACAGCCCGGGAGGGGGGGGGGGCTCGGGGGTCCTACTCCCTGATAATAAAAAAATCTGGTCCATATCTGATTGGTATAGTGAACGAAATTACTGTTATTTGTGGAGGGGGGTGGGGGGCTAGGGCCACTCGGGCGTGCTATATAATGTACCACTGTTTTGTTCGCCGGAATCCATCTTCGTAAACCCACATACCCCCGCTTACACTTCACGTCAAATCTGATATAGTTGGTAACTATTTAATTCGAGGTGTTCGTTGGGTCGGGTTAAGCTTGCATGGGACCCTTGTATCAACAGTAAAAAGGGGGCATATTCTGGGTTATTGCAGCCTCATCCCTTTAATCTGAGTATGTATATACAATCCTAGCCTGTCAGGTCAAATCAAGGCAGGGCACAGCGCATGTTGTCTGCGAATCATTTCTCCCATAACACACATTGCTCGTTTAACCTTGGCTCCCACAACAATCTGATTACAATACAGATCTATCTTTCGTTTCGTTTTTTTTATACTTTCGATGGCCTCTACTACATGAAGATCTGACCGGTTGTAGCGGAGGGCCGCGTCAGAGGTCATACGAGCGGCTTTTGACCCTATGACGTGAGACATTTGATTAACCAACTAGCGTTGATGTTTCTAGTGGGTTACCAAAAGAATCGCCGTAACAGACCGTTTCATTAGGTAATCCCTCGCCGCATTCAGAACGAGAGTTATATAACAACTCTTTCAGAGCCTAGTGTAGTAAAGACAAGTAAAACGAAATTCGAGCTATAAAAAAATAGGATCTGTGTTTTAATCGGGTCACAGAAAGGAGTGCCAACGACTTAATTTCATGATTCTGTAAGAGAGGGAGATGGGGTTTAACGTCCACTCGACACAATCTAGGTCATTTCGGGACTAAAATATGGTTCAATTTTTTATTTCAATAATTCGCTTGCGCGTAGGGGTCTTTAGCAGTAGGGGGAGGGGGTATCGGAGGACCCGGAGATAACCCACGATGTTGGTGCGGCGACCGGGAAATCGATACCACGCCAGTTGACTCAATGACAGACCTTATGATACAACGCGCACGCGCTAACCATTCGGCCATCCCCCCGCCACCTTCGTCCACTTCTGCTGTTGAGACATATCTGCTGTGTGGGCGTATTTCAACGCTTTCTAGGTTTATCTAATACCCTCATGTTGGTGATTTATTTGTAGATTTACAACGCCTGTTAGGAAGAAGGAGACAGAAGAACGAAGATTGTAACTCATCGGCGATTTTTCACCTGAAACAGATAAATTGCCTTTCATTAAAAAAGTGTTTAGATTTATTTTTTTTTGTGTCAGGTTATATACTCGTTTGTGGATGGAGGTGTAGAGGGGTTTAACGCCATACAATGTGCTATGAGCCAAAGTGTGTCCTGACAGTGGCGAAACGACCATCTCTTATTTAAATAATCCAACTGTGCACGCCAGGGGAGACACATGGACTAAGACTAGTAATTTTTCCCCTTATTTCATGATGTAGTGCGAATTATAAATAGACAATTTTTCCCTTAATTTTTTTCTCCCCTCTTCCTGCATTTTTGGGTTGACTTTTTGGTCTAGAATTGGAGAAAAGGGGTCAAATTTGCAATTTCATAACAGTTTTGGGTAATACTGATGATATTACAGCTGAGGGATAGGGGGTGTAAAGTGCCCTTCTGCAGAGCAATCATTGTGTCGGAAGTGAGATTTTCACCCCAGTCAACTTCAAATCCGCGTAGCAAAAAATCTAAATGGTCAACCCCCTACAAAATTATGATGAGGAGATTGCCAAATGTTGTCCCCATTGTGAGTCCACACATTAGTCAGGGGAGACACCTTATCCGCCCTTAATAAATGTGTTATTTTTATCGACCAATCAAATAATTCTATAAATTTTCTATAGATAGAAAGCAAATAGGCGAAGGGAAGTAACTCTCATTTTAGTGCCGAATCATGGTTGCAAACTTTTTCAAAATATTTTAGAACATCGTTTTGTGTGCATTTCACGTCTTTGATGTTAATTTCTTGCAAACATTTTCATAATCGAGCGTACATGCTGCTGTATTGTGGTAAACGTAACCAATGACGCTAAGGCTTATATATAATCGAGCGTATACATACTGCTGTATAGTGGTAAACGTAACCAATGACGCTAAGGCTTATATATAATCGAGCGTACATGATGCTGTATATAGTGGTAAACGTAACCAATGACGCTAAGGCTTATATATTATCGAGCGTACATGCTGCTGTATAGAGTGGTAAACGTAACCAATGACGCTAAGGGTCGTATGTAAACTGTTTTAGAATCAACCTACGTAGCCATTGAAATCATCAAGGGCAGTTAAATTTACTTCGTTAAAATCCCGTAAATGGACCCAGGGGCTACCGTGGATGAAACGGACGTTAAACCCCATTTCATTTCATTTTTCTACACCGTTTAAAAAGCCGAACTTGCATAACCTCTGTGATCTGTCAATTCTATTTTGGCCATCACAAGCAGTTTAGATTCGATATTAACATAATAATTCTGTCACGTTGCCTGGTTTCCATTCCAAGCTTGTACGTGAGTAGAGTCGCCCATCAAACCTCAAGGATTGTTTCAGGGGGGAAGGGCGGGTCTCCTGCTACAAACCACTACGCTCAAACCAATTAACATAGTACTGTATTTTTGTCTCAAAACGACCTAGTTAATCTCTCTCTCTCTCTCTCTCAGGGATACTAGAAATTAGACGTGTCACGTTTGTACTATTAACTCTTATCAAAATTGCGAAAATGGGAAAACTAAAATTACACGAAGATAAGGGATATCACCAATAGTAGCCTATCGCCGTCCTTGTGGGAGAGTGATTAGTTTTGCACTAGAAATGAAATCGACTCTAAACCTTCGTCCGAGATCTCTTTTTTGAATATTAACTGCAGGATGACTTACATACCGCAGAACTAGAGAACCAAGAAAAAAAGTGATACGGGTTTTAACGTCCTTTTTTTCTGCGTCAACTGAGCCTGCACCATGCTGTGTCCCCTTCTTCAACTGGCAATGGTTCTTTTACGCGTATAGATGACATCGGTCCTTCATACCATCTACACGTTTTTCATTGCCAGGAACACTGATCAGCAGTGAATATTTGCTAGGCCACTACAATTACTGAAAGGGATGGCATCGGTGCGGGTTAATTAGCTCGCAATATAATAAAAATGTTAGCCGGGTGAAATACATTTGTCTGGTGTCACCTGGTTAGAGTTATCTTTCCACACTGATCCGCGGTGAATATTCGTTAGGCCGCGACAATCACTGATAAGGATGACATCGATGCGACTTAATGAGCACAAATTGAGAGTTTTGGCGAGGATCCCCCTCCATAAATGAGCCCCAAATATTGACTTTTTTCCTCCGTCAAATTAAATTCTAAAACATTTATTTTTTCAATGTATTAGAAAAATATATAAAGACGTTTGAAGTATTTGTAGGTAAAAATATTTCCTGTTTTAATGTAAATAGGTACTAAAATAGGTATTAAAATGAGTAAGCTATTCTGCTCGAATCAGTAACGTCTTATGTAAACAATGCACGCGCCATTGACGCCGCGTGATATGACGTCATATGTCCAAGGCAGTCATCTTTTACAGAGATATTAGAAGACTTTCATAATACCCTGTGAAACAGATTGTTATCTTTCTTGATGTAGTTTCATGAGGTAGCGCTGTATTCCTCATATGACGGGATTCGAAATAATGTGCTAAAATATTTCTTACTTATGTATTTATGATGATTCCATGTGTTTAAACTAAACAGGATTTTATTTGTGTGGCGTTGTGGCTGGTGTTCCGTTCACCGTAATCGTGTTCGACTAAGCGATTTCTACTGCAAAAAATCATCGCTGAAGTGAATCGCAATATGTCGGATAGGAAGGTTTTGGTATGGGGTAGTCCTCACAGTTGTCGGCTACACGATTTCTTGACTCTTAATGCAGAATATTTGGAATTTTATTGGCGCCCAGAGTTAAGACACATTTCTACGTATTTGTATGGAATTGGCGGAGATAAAGTTGTACAAGGAGAACATGTATTAGAAAAATAAACAAAGCTGTTTGAAGTAGGCTATATCTGGATAAAAATCATTTCCTATTTACTCAGTGTAAATGAGTATATAAAATGAGTTGTAATATGAACGCGAAATCTTTCTTTGTTCTTTTCGTTGAATAAGCAGGGGACTGTTTCACGAAATTTTAACTAAGATAAAATCCAAATTTTAGTAATTTGATTGGATAATATTAGATTGATTTTAGTGCTTAGCCAATCAAAATTGAATTATCTACTAAAATTTGGATTTTATCTTTAGTTAAGATTCCGAGAAACAGGACCCAGATTGTTTTCCCTCTAGTAGGTTGGGTGGAGCTTAACCGTGCAATAACTAGACATGTTCAATGTTATTGCACTTTTTGCTGGTTTACACTAGTTTTAGTAGAAATCATATAAGAGAAGTGGGGTGGGTTTTCTGTGCAATAACAATAAGCATATTGAGCAGTTGTCAATGTTATAGCACGCTTCATGAGTTAACAGGTTTAACCCCTCGGCCTTCGGCCGTGCTATAAATATAACTAAAAGGCAGCATTTTGCCTGGACCGGTTTACGCTACTATACGTTATATAAACAATACATGTGCCATCGAGCCAATGATCTACGTTGCGTGGTGTGACGTCACATGTAAAAGTCATGCTTGAACTTATAAAGGCCAGTCATCTCATACAGAATTATGAGAAGGCTTTCGCAATAGCTGGGTGAAACAGATTGGGCTCCCCGTCCTACATAACTTACAAGGGAAAACAACTCAGTATAGCCGCATTACAAAATAGTATACTATTTTTAGATTTGGCGGTCGTTCAGGACAAAGTTCTGTTCTCGAGGTAAATGTATGGGGGCTCGATTGTCAGTCCGGAAAGTCCCGAGTTGACAGAATTGAAATCAAGTGGTACAGAATTCAGCCGAGAGGGGGGGGGGGGGTAATGGCTGAATGGTTAGCACGTGCGCGCTATATCATAAGGTTTGTCATTGAGTCAACTGGCGTGGTTTCGATTCCCCGGTTATACGTAACAAGGAGTAGGGTCGCCTGTCCAACCTGGTGGGTTTCCTCCAGTTTCTCCTGTTTCCTCCCACTGCTAAAGACCACTACGCTCAAGAGAATTATTGAAATAAAATTGAACCATATGTTAGTCCCTTGATGACCTAGTTTGCATCGAGTGGGCGTTAAGTCCCCCCTCTCTCTCTCCTCTCTCTCTCTCTCTTCTCTCCCCCCTCTCTCTCTCTCTCTCTCTCTCTCTCTCTCTCGAAATACAGCCCTATCACAGTTCTGCCAGTCCCGACGGTTTTTTTTTTTTAGTTTTTGAAGAGATGGAAAAGACCAAAAATATCGCCAAAAATATGGGGTTTAACGTCCACTCGACACAAACTAGGTCATTTCGGGACTAACATATGGTTTTTACTTTTATTTAGCAGTGGGAGGAAACTGGAGGACCCGGAGAAAACCCACGAGGTTGGACAGGCGACCCTACTCCTTGTCACGTACAACCGGGGATTCGAAACCACGCCAGTTGACTCAATGACAGGCTTTATGATACAGCGCGCACTGGGATAATCCGACATTCGGAACCGAGATATCAGCGATTCAGTTTTAGATTAGCCTCGATCGTAATTACTACCATTGGTACGATAATAAACAAAGTCCCCATTATCCATTTTTACGTTAAGTCAACCATCAGAAAACGTATTCAAATCCACTCAATATCACAGACTAATGGTGGCATGGTTATGGTCTGGATAAGTTGATTTAGATAACATTTAAAGCCTAAAGAAAAACCTGCAATAAGCAGATTTATCTCTTGCATAATGTATGTTTAACTCAATGGCAGACCTTATGATACAACACGCATGCGCTAACCATTCGTCCATCCAACACCGGCTAAATCTATTTGTTAAGGCCAGCTCAATTTTTGTCATTGTCGTTGAGATGTAAATAAGGTTAGGGCACGTGATTGCTGGCGAGATTGTAGGTTAGGTTTAAGGTAAGCGTTGGGGCTAGCTCAAGGGTTAGGGCTAGGGCTAGGATTAGCGCTAGCTCTGTTTACATCTCGTGACCTATGACGAATAATTGAGTTGGCCTTATCATTTAGCAATCTGTTTCACAGAGATTTTTTAATATCTCTGTTACAGATGACTGTTTCGACACGTGACGTCACATCACGCGGCGTCCATCATTGGCTCAATAGCGCGTGCATTGTTTTCATAAGACGTCACGGATTCGGGCTAAATGGTGAATTTTACTTATTTTAATACCCATTTACACTAAATAGGAAATGATTTTTACCTACAAACAATTCAAACGACTTTATTTATTTTTCTAATAAATGAAAAAAATGTTTCAGAATTTAATTTGTCGAAAGAAAAAAGTTAATATTTTGTAGTCATTAAGTAGCATCGATGTCATCCTTATCAGTGATTGTAGCGGCCAAGCGAATATTCACTGCGGATCAGTGTGATCATTTAGTACTAACCATCCAACACCCCTCTCGAGTGTAGGCGTGATGACTGTTTCTCACCTACAATTACTGAAACTCTGTTCAGTGTCACATTATTACACCTCAAAATATGTTCCCCGTCTTCATTAGCCAGGATAAAACAGAAATCTAGGACTATTAAATCCCCATTTTATTCCAAATTCTGGACTATGCAGCAAAATCCCACAGAAATTGCAAATTCCAACACTCTCCTGGATTCCTGGGCAAAAGTCAATAAAATGAAATGCACATAAAAAAAGGAATATATTATCTATCTGCAGGAAAATTTAGTAACCTATAATAAGCAACACTTCAGCATGTCATTCTATGTCTGCAGCTGGTGGTGGTCACATTGACGTAACCATATCTAAACTATATAAGGACAAATCTGTGCAGACATCTACGTCTTTTGGAATTCAACAGCAAGGTAAGAAGGATAATTTATTAAACATTATTTGAGATACCTGCACTAGATCTGGAACGTTAAGACTTGACTGACCTTCTGTTCTGTCCACAGCCTCGATCATCATTACTCAAGTCGGTACGATAAAAAAACATAGTCTCGATTATCCATTTCATGATTAAATCACGGTAAGACTTGACTGACCTTCTGTTCTGTCCACAAGTACGCCAGGTCCCCGAAATGCCGAGGTCCCGTATATACATTGTTGTGCACGTAAAAGAACGCTTGGCAATTGGAATTCGATATACGAATAGGCCATATCGCCGCTGTCCGGGCAACATTTCCCTTACAGCACTGTATGTGGTTTGCCTGTCTTCATTAGCCAAGTCGGTACAGTGAAGTTAGGACTACCCCGTTGCGTTACATATCCGTACGGTAGGCCCTGAAGTAGTTTGGGAACGGGTCAAGCCTGGAATTTAGTTTTCATGGTGTCTTGTTGATTGCAGATTACTATGTTTTCGCAGTTCTCCCGAGACCTGCCGATGGTTCCACGTAGCTCGCGATGCGCCCGGAGTTTCCCTTGGACACCGTGGAAACAGTTGCCGACGGATAACGAGGCTCATAAATTTTCATAGGTAGTACATCCCCGAGGCACAAAATGTCGAGTGGGACCTAAAATAAAATAAATCTTGAGAGATTACTATTGCTGTCACAATCTGATTAAAACACAGATCCTATTTCGTTTCGTTTTTATAATTCAAAATTTCGTTTTACCTGTCTTTACTACACTAGGATCTGGAAGAGTTGTTATAATTGACGTGTTCTGAATGGTGTGGGGTATTAGCCAATGAAACTGTCTTTAACGGCGAGTTTTAGGCGTGTTTTGCACGGAACTGTGGGTAATCCACTAGTAACATCAATGCTGATTGGTTAATCAAATGTCTGACGTCATAGGGTCAATAGCCGCTCGTATGACCTCTGACGTGACCTATCGTAACAACCAGTCAGGTCTTCATGTAGTGTAGGCCATCGAAAGTATAAAAAATCTGTATTTTAGTTAGATTGATTGCTGTCCCGGCAGTATTTCCCCACGTGTCTACCTTTAACGGGTAGTTTGGTGCTAAGCAGTTGGACGTTAAACCACAGTTCATTTCATATATCCGTACCGGCATATATCAGTCACCATGAGTCGGCGATCAACAGTTCTGGACCTTTTCAATGCGAATCGAAACGTTCGGTATAAAAAAGGGCCAGATCTCATAACCACATATAGTATAGTCACGGTATACTCACAGTTAGTATAGTAATAGATTGTATTTAGTCACAGATAATATAGCTACAGGTAGATACATGTAGTATAGCGACATATAGTATAGTCAGGTATAGTATATTCACAGATAGTATAGTCACATATAATATAGTCACAGATAGTATAGTCACAGATAGTATAGTCACATATAGTCACAGATAATATAGTCACAGATAGTATAGTGACAGATAATATAGTCACAGATAGTATAGTCACATATAGTATAGTCACAGATAGTATAGTCAAAGATAGTATAGTCACAGATAGTATAGTCACATATAGTATAGCTACAGGTAGTATAGTCACATATAGTATAGTCACATATAATATAGTCAAAGATAATATAGTCACATATAGTATAGTCACAGATAATATAGTCACAGATAGTATAGTCACAGATAGTATAGTCACAAGTAGTCTAGTCACAAGTAGTCTAGTCACATATAGTATAGACAAAGATAATATAGTCACAGATAGTATAGATAGTATAGTCACATATAGTATAGTCACAGGTAGTATAGTCACAGGTAGTATAGTCACATATAGTATAGTGACCGATAATATAGTCACAGGTAGTATAGTCACATATAGTATAGTCACAGATAATATACTATAGTCACAGATAGTATAGTCACAGATAGTATAGTCACAGGTAGTATAGTCACATATAGTATAGTCACGGATAGTATAGTCACGGATAGTATAGTCACAGATAGTTCGTCACGGATAGTATAATCACAGATAGTATAGTCACATAAAGTATAATCACATTAGTATAGCTACATGTAGTATAGTCACAGATAGTATAGTCACATATAGTATAGTCGCAGATAATATAGTCACAGATAGTATAGTCACGGATAGTATAATCACAGATAGTATAGTCACATAAAGTATAGTCACAGATAGTATAGTCACATATAGTATAGTCACAGATAGTATAGTCACATATAGTATAGTCACAGATAGTATAGTCACATACAGTATAGCTACAGATAGTATAGTCACAGATAGTATAGTCACATATAGTATAGTCACAGGTAGTATAGTCACATATAGTATAGTCACAGATAGTATAGCTACAGATAGTATAGCGAGAGAGAGAGAGATGAGGTTTAAAGTCCACTCGACACAAACTAGGTCATTTCAAGACTAACACATGGTTCATTTTTATTTCAATCATTCGCTTGCGCGTAGGGGTATTTAACAGTGGGAGGAAACCGGGGGACCCGGAGAAAACCCACGAGGTTGGACAGGCGACCCTACTCCTTGTCACGTACAACCGGGGAATCGAAACCCCGTCAGTTAACTCAATGACAGACCGTATGATACATATATTTTCAATCGTTTGACACTATTTTTGAAATTGAGAGAATTTAATTTCCGAACGTTCAATCAAGTATCGTGTTTTGTCGATTATTTCAGAATCACCATGCAACTCTTAGTTATCTTTGCAGTCATTGCCTGGTGAGTTTATTTAAACCTATATTTTGTATATTAAACTGAATGTTTGTTTTTTGTGGGTGCACTATAAGAAAGCAACCAGTTGAGATTCTAACGGAATTTAAACAGAGGCGGATTCAATGGGGGCGCGAGGGGCGCCCCCCCCCCTACTTTTCGACAGTGCCCTTTTGTACTGCTGAAAGTGCCTTTTCTCAGACTCAAATATGTCCGTTCCCAACCCGCTGTAGGGATCCCAAATGACTCAAACCATCGACTCAAACACACCAGTCTGGGAAATAGCTCTTGGAATGGCTACAGATGCAAGAAAATGACGGGTAATTTTCTTGGGGACCCCCCCCCCTCAGCGGCGTGCCCCGTCTCCGCGGTCAATGCCTTCATTTAGCAGCGCCCCCCCCCTTTTCGAAATTCCTAGATCCGCCCCTGTTAAAGATACATATGTAAGATTTAGATAAAGAACTAGCCATTCTTGCTATAATAGTTCGAAAGTAGATGATGTAAAATGAATAATTTAAAAATTTCATTCAAATTACTCTATTGCAAGCGAAGATATTAGCCTTTGAAGGTTTGACAGACGTGTGCAATAATTGCAACCACCGTACTGGTTGATCGAAGCTAAGTCTCGGTCCTCCATATTTGATTAAATCAAAGTATCGCTGAACCATTCTAATCTATTTAATATCGGAGAAATCTGATGCCATCGAGAGTTGATTAAGGCCTGGGTCAGTTAATTAATGTCTAATTAATACTTTAGAAACCATTTCAGGCCTAAAGAAAGACATGCAATAGGCAGATTTAGCTCTTGCATAATGTATGTTTAATGGTGCTTTCTATTATTTTTTATTTGGTACAGTACTCATTGATGAAATTGAAAATTAATACCCCTATTAGACAAAGAGTTGCTATTTCTCGCTATAATAGTTAAAAAAATAGATAACGTAAATAGAATATGCGCTGGGGTTTAACGTCCACTCGACTCAAACTAAGCCATTCCCGGACTAACATATGGTTCATTTTTATTTCAATGATTCGCTTATGTGTAGGGTTCTTAGTAGTGAGAGTAAACCAGGCGATCCGGAGAAAACCCACGAGGTTGGACAGGTGACACTACTCCTTGTCACTTACAACCAGGGAATCGCAAGCGAATTATTGAAATAAAATTGAACCATATGTTAGTTCCGCAATGACCTAGCTTGTGTCGAGTGGACGTTAAACCCCATCTCTCTCTCTCTCTCTCTCTCTCTCTCTCTCTCTCTCTAATAAACTATTTTTTTCTCTCAGTGCCTTGGCAGCACCATGTGTCCATGACAACCATGCTGATTTAACTGAAGAACATGTTATGAATATGGTGGTTGCTGCTGCGGATTCAAACAGTGACGGTGTTATATCAGAAATTGATATAATTTCTTATTTCATCGTCAACTTCGACCATAATGGTAAGCAAAATTGATTAAAGATACATCCTGTAACATTTAGATAACGAGCTGGTCGTTCTTGCTATAATAGTTTAAAAATAGACATAGAGAATATATAGCGAATTTCATTCAAATTATTTTATTCTGAACGAGAGAGAGAGAAATGGGAATTAACGTCCACTCGACACAAACTAGGTCATTTCGGGACTAACGTATGGTTCAGTGTTTGAAGAAGTAGCATAGATTGTTTATTATCGTAGCAACAGTACTGGACAATCTAGATTATCCATTTTTTGAATTTAAGAGTGTATCCGCGAGAAGACCATGCAAAAATCGCAAAAAGTGCTAAGATCGGGGGTCGGAAGTTTTTGATCAAACTGATGTCGCTCTAAAGGACTGTACAGGAATTATTCATTTTATGGGTAAAATTGCGGTTTTCACATGTGTATTTATCACCTTTTTTAAGCACAGACTGCATTCTATGGTGGAATAGCAACCTTCTAATTTTGACCCTGTCTGATAAAGCGGGTGGTCAACTTCTACCCCAGCACTCATTTGAAAAAAAAAATCAGTACATACTAATTTTGTGTGGACTTGTTTTAGGGTACCATATTCACATTGTCCTTATAGTGCAGAAAAAGATACACTGTAACTTTTTCTTTCATGGTCGCAAGTAGAATTTCTTTGGATGGTTTTGAAGTGCTAAGCACATAGTATCCATAGGTGTAAAAAAAATGACCGGAATGCAACATACTTAAAATATACAGCTTATTGAAAAGTGCTAAAAAAAAAGCTTTTGTGATACATTTTTTTGCGAATTTGATTAGAGAAATAAAATTTTTGACTTTTATACGTTTTCATCATATCCATAGCCATTATTTGTACCATGTTGTACTCTATATAAGTGTGTATTTGTATTTATTGTATATTTGGTATTGTCGTATTGTCCCTTTAACATATTTGTTGTATTGTCTCTTTAAGATTTCATTTTCAAACAAGTTACCGAAAATGGCTACAAAATGTTTAATTTCAGAGCATGTTTCCACTATTCATTTTGGGACACATCCACTGATTTCTACAATACAGAAATGTAGAAGCTTAAATATTAACGGCAACGAAGCCTAATTGCGTCGAAGTGGGTGACATTGAACAGTGTAGTATGGTAGCTACAGCTCTCGGGCACCGTCAGCTGCACCTTCAGGGCCGGATTTAGAATAAGAGAGGCCCTAAGCAAACCCCCTGAACAGGGCCCACTACATGGACCTTGGGGCCTGGGGCAAGCAACTCGGTGAGAGGGTGGGTCGGGTGAAGTCATGCGGTTGGTGGTTCGAATCTCACTTTTAGGTGAATTTCATTTTCGTTGGATTATTTTATTTAAAATAATGTCTATTTGAGAGTAATGGATATTTTTGTTAAGATTGAGCACGTCGAAACTCCGATGGAAGGTCGTGGACAACTGCAGAAGTCAATTCCCGTTGACGCCAGATGAGCCATGAACGATTACAGGCCTTTGAAAGTATTTTTTTTCAAGATATTTTTATAAAACAGATACTAATGTATTTTAGGGCTGGTAGTAAACACCATATGAATGAAAAGGAAAATATATTGTTAGTTTTTTTTATCTACTACGGTTAATTATCTCCACAATAGGGAAATTACAGGTTAATTTCATGGGTTATTGTTTCCTTTACCTAGTTTTTGTCAAGTCGATTCCGGTCATTATTATTTTTTGTATCAAATGTTGGGTGGTTGCTTGTTCACGTGAGCATAAATTTTTAAAACCCACCCCATGAAAGAAGTAGCTATAGGGCGTCAAACTTTGGGTGACGAAAAATGGGGAATTTAGAAAGGCTTTGATATCCAGTCCGTATTCAGATCTCGTTCGCCAGAATCGTCTGAAGTTAATATTGTGGTAACAGCACTGAGTCATCGATAAACTGTGTGAGTTTGGTCTTTCTGCTACGTATAGTAAAGGTGTAAGGACTTACCAAAGTTGGTATTTGAGAAAAGACAGATTTTGGCAATTTCACCATATGAAAAATGTTTTTTCAATTTTCTCATACAGGAATTGAAAGATTTATCTAATATTGCACATTTATGTGTTTTGGGACTATCCCAACTTATAAATCAAATTTGGTCAAAATCTGTGATTGAAGCCTTAGCACCTTCTGCATGGTTTTCTCGCGGACACGCTCTTAATTATTAAATGTCGATAGTGTATCAATCCATTTCACTCTCGAACATCCGATGGTCTAGAGAGTTGATTATAGTCTTGCCATGTGAATACATGTCTAAATGATAGTATATATAACATTCGAAGCCAAGATAAAGACAAATAAATAGGCAGATAATGCATGCATCTTTAACCGAATTGAACATTTTTGGCCATTTCCAAGTCGTTTGGCACAACAAAATCAAACAAAAGCCAATGTAGGCTAAACGAATAAGAAATAAAACGTAGGCCCACATGCTTTAAATGGGAGCCGCTGTGGCTCAGTGGGTAAGACTTGACAACGTAATAGAAATAGGTCATAACACACTTCATGGGGTATGCCCGTTTTCATTAGGCCAGTCAGAGCACAACAGTAGGACGTTAAACCCAATTCATTTCATTTTAAATATCAAATCCCGAGACAACAATGGTCGATTAAGAAAAATGAAACTTAGAGAAAAACTGTTGGATAACCATACCTAATGGGAATTTGGAAACTTCTTTAGGTGTGTGGGTTTTTGGGTTGTTTTTTTTTGGAAGGGTGCGTTGGTATGGGAGAGAGAGAGAGAGAGAGAGAGAGAGAGAAATGAGGTTTAACGTCCACTCGACACAAACTAGGTCATTTAGGGACTAAAATATGGTTTTTATTTTATTTCAATAATTCGCTTGCGCGTAGGGGTCTTTTAGCGGTGGGGGGGGGGAACAGGAGGAAACCCATGAGGTTGGACAGGCGACCCTACTCCTTGTCACGTACAACCGGGGATTCGTAACCACGCCAGCGCGCACGTGCTAATCATTTGGCCATCCAATCCCCCCAATACTTTAGACTATTCTATAATAATAATAAGAAGTACACGAGTCGTTTATTCTGTGGTTTCGGGCGCCATTTGTAATAAAAAAAAATCCTACAAAACAATGCTGAAGTAATTAATAATGACCGTCGTTCACTTTTTACTGTTCACGTATTTCACTGAACATAATTGACTAGAAATTACAACATTTTTATTTTTTAATTGAATAAAAATGCCTTTATATATATTTATATTACATTAATGCGTGCTTTAGACCACTTTTCGTCTATTTTGCTCCTTGTCAGTGGTGCAGCACAAAGGGTCTGGCAATTAGTGACACCGATAGTCGTTCGGATAGGACGAAAAACCGAGGTCCCGTGTACACATTAGTGTTCACGTAAAAGAACCTTTGATTATTGGAATCCGATATAAGAATAGGCCGTAGCGCCGCTTTCGGGCAAAATGTCCGTCATAGCATGAAGGATGCCCATCCCCATTAGCCCAGTCGGGGCAGAGCAGTAGGACGTTAAACCCCATTTCATTTCATTTATTTTAATGTTCTAAAAATAAAGCTATGGGAGAATGCTAGAATGAAGACGGTCCTTCACATATGACGTCATATATGGATTATGCCTTAGTGGTAGTGTAAGGGTTGGGCGTCGTCCAGGGTTAGGATTGGGGTCAGCGCAGACGAAATCTGCAATACGCTACGCTAACCCTAACCCAAAATCCACATAACGTCATATGTGCTAGAATGTGCCAGACCGTTTCCGATCTAGCGTTCTCCAGAGTTAAACGCCCTTTAGTTACCATGACGATTCGCAGCCTTACTAGATCGTTTATTCTTTATTGTATGCATTACCGTCTGCTCTTCGGGCCAGAGTAACAGGCCGTTAAACCCCATTTCATTTCATTTTGTAGTTACCATGACGATTCGCAGTATTAGTATATTCTTTATTGCAGGTAATTTGGCCATTGAAGAATCAGAATTCGTCAAGCAGTGGAATCAAGACTTCCATGATGAAGTAGCTTTTGCCCAGCATGTTTTCCACCACCTGGATACCGATGATAATGGTCGTCTGGATATTTCAGATGTTGATCCACTTGTCAAACGTGCTGATACGAACGGTAAGTTTTTCCGCCACCAATACTTCCGGTAATCGCTACAGCCACCAATACTTGCGTTAAAGATTACAGCCACCAATACTTTCGTTAAGGGTTACAGCCACCAATACTTGCGTTAAGGGCGACATCCACGAATATCCCCGTTAAGGGTAACAGCCACCAGTACTTGCGTTAAGAGTTACAGTGAGGCGCTGTGGGGATATTATAGTGAGAACTACCAGCTCTTTATCTAATCTCACATAATGTATCTTTAACCGATGCAACCAGAACGGCGCATGTGCATAAACTCGGGGTAGGTGGCTGAATGGTTTAACGCGTGCGCATTTGACCATAAAGTCTGTCATTGAGTCAGTCTCCGGTTTCCACCTACAACGAAAAACCTTACGCTCAAGCGAATTATTGAAATAAAATCGAACCATATGTTAGTCCCCACTACATGTGTACAAAAGTAAGAGTCGGTTACAGAGACGAGAATTAAAATTCGAATCAAAGGGAGAAAATTAATGGCGATCTCTTCTCCGCGTCCTCCGGTTTCCCCCCACTGGTAAAATCCCTACGCGCAAGCGAATTAATGAAATAAAACTGAACCATATATTAGTCCCAAAATGATCTAGTTCGTGTCGAGTGGACGTTAAACCCTATTTTTCTCTCTCTTATCCCAGCCGTCTTCATTAGCTCAGGAGGAGTCGACAAGCAGGACGTTTAACACTATATCGTTTCTCTTATTGCAGGTGATGGTGTAATCCAAACTACAGAATTCAAGGCCTATCTTGAAGCTGTAAGTAACTGGTTTATTTTTCCAAATGAATATTGTATTTTCAATATGTTTTAATCACGATGGCTCGATATCCAGGAGCTTCCCTTGTCGGTGGTGTCTTAGTCGTTCGTATGGTACGCAAAACCACTCTTGTACGCGTTGGTGTGTACGTAAAGGAAGGTCCGTCTTCGTTAGCTCAGTTGGAGCAGACGGGTATGCGTTAAACGGTCTACGCCATTCTAGTGCTCGATCTTTAGCTGGCCGATCACCTCTGACATGCGGTCATGGTTTCGGCCCCGAGTGCAAGGGTATGTGGTTTGGGCGCCTCCTCAATCTCGTGGGTTTACCCCGGGTACTCTGGTTTCCTCCCACAGGAAACGTGCGCTAAGCATAATAAAGTAAGACGACTCGTATGCGATATCACAATCGGTGAAAGTGGACGTAAAACACTATAGAAAGAAGAATAAAGAGCCGACGATCGTAAAAGCCCATGTAGAATAATTTATAGTGGTTTCTAAAGTCTGTCGGAACTAGCTCCGTGTAGTAGCTGTGTTAGAATAGAAAGTGATTTCTTGAATATAAAAACATATTATATTGTACAAATTGTATTGTATTATATTGTATTGTATGTTGTATTGTACAAATTGTATTGTATTGTATGTTATTGTATATTGTATTGTTTGTTGTATTGTATTGTATTGTATGTTGTATTATATTGTATTGTATGTTGTAATATATTGTATTGTATGTTACATTGCGTTGCGTATAATTTTTTTTTATATTTACAGATTTACAACGCCTGTTAAAACGACTTCACGACTCATTATTTGATGTAATAAAAAGTTCAATGTCATTAGTTCTATTATTATTTAACAAGGGAGACGGGAAGATGGTTTAACGTTCGCGAGGTAGATCATAATGTCTGATACCGAGGCAAGTAATGGGGTTGACCCACGCGTGTACTTTATACAGAGAGAGAGAGAGAAAAGAGAGAGAGAGATGGGGTTTAACGTCCACTAGGTCATATGATTCGATTTTATTACAACAATTCGCTTGCGCTTAGGGGTCTTTAGCAGTGGGAGGAAGCCGGAGGACCCGGAGAAAACCCATGAGGTTGGAAGGCGACCCTACGCCTTGTCACGTACAGGTCGGGGATCTAAACGACGCCATAGCAGACCTCGTGATTTCACGCGTTAAACCTACCAGGGAGCCATGATGGCTGTGAAATGAAATGAAATGGGGTTTAACGTCTTACTGTTCTGCTCCTATACTGGGCTAATGAAGACGGTCATACGCCATACAGTGTGCTATGAGGGAAATTTTGCCCGGGCAGCGGCACTATCGCCTACTCTTATATCGAATTCCAACTGCCAAGGGATCTTTTACGTGCATTCCAATGTATACACGAGACCTCGGTTTTTCGTATCATCCGAAGGACTAGACAGCTGTCCTTATCAGGCCCTCCGTCCTGCATCACCGACAAGGGAGAACCACGCCGGAAAAATTGGATGAACTTTCTCGGCCAATGCAGGGATCGAACACTCGACCTCCAGGCTAGAGAGCCAGCGTCTTACCCACTTAGCCACGTGATCCCCCATGATGGCTGTGAGAAAGTCGCTAGGATATCCGGGGTTTAATCTTGTTGTTGGTCAAGACAAATCCTTATAATTTTTCTGCGTGGTTTCTCCCCTGTCAGTCGTGTAAAGAGAGAGAGAGAGATGGGGTTTAACGTCCACTCGACACAAACTAGGTCATTTCGGGACTAACATATGGTTTTTAATTTTATTTCAATAATTCGCTTGCGCGTAGGGATCTTTAGCAGTGGGAGGAAACCGGAGGACCCGGAGAAATCCCACGAGGTTGGTCAGGCGACCCTATTCCTTGTCACGTACAACCGGGGATTCGAAACCACGCCAGTTGACTCAATGACAGGCTTTATGATACAGCACGCACGTGCTAACCATTCGGCTATCCACCCCCCCCCCCCCCAGTCGTGTAAAACGGAGGGTCGAGCAAGGAAACCTGCCCAGTCATTCGGATGGGCCAAAAACCGAGATACCGCGTATAGTTTGGTGTACCTGAGAGAGAGAGAGAGAGAGAGATAGAGAGGAAGGGTGGTTAACGTCCACTCGACACAAACATGTCATTTCGGGATTAACATATGGTTCAATTTATTTCAATAATTCGCTTAAAATAAAGAATTATTTCCTATTTTAGTGTAAATGGGTATTAAAATGAGTAAAAGGCGCCATTCTGCTCGAATCAGCAACATTTTATGTAAACAACGCACGCGTCATTGAGCCAATGATTGACGCCGCTTGATATGACGTCATGTGTTGACGACAGTCATCTTTTACAGAGATATTAGAAGACTTTCGTAATACTCTGTGAAACAGATTGTCCACGTCCGTGTACCAACCACGGTGGTATAATATATATGTTCCTGATAATAAATCTATTATACCCGACATCTGTCCTGTTCCAGTTACTCAAACCTCGTGGGTTTTCTCCGGGTCATCCGGTTTCCTCCCACTGCTAATGACCCCTACGCTCAAGGCAATTATTGAAATATAATTGAACCATATGTTAGTCCCGAAATGACCTACTTTGTGTCTAGTATACGTTAAACCCCATCTCTCTCTCTCTCTCCCTCTCTCTCTCTCTCTCTCTCTCTCTGTTCCACCACCTGTTAATAGCTCAAATAAAATAAAATTAAATGGAGTTTTAACGCCCCATGTTTGTGTACCAACCATGGTAATCTATACGGCATTACATCATGCAATGTAAACGCTGTTTTGTAACCAAATAATAAAGACCCCGATACACGTCCCAAGGTGGCAGATGCAAGTAGATGGGAAAACATTAAATTCCAAGAATAAAATTAAACACAAAATAATACAAATACATCACAACACATTACAATACAATACAACACAGCATAACACAACACAACGCAACGCAACGCAACGCAACGCAAACAATATAATAGAATACAAACATACAACACAACACAACACAACACAACACAACTCAACTCAACACAATTCAACACAATACAACACAAATGGGTTTAACGTCCACTCGACACAAACTAGGTCATTTCGGGACTAACACATGGATCAATTTTATTTCAATAATTCGCTTGTGCGTAGCAGTGGGGGGGGGGGGGGGTAGGGGCCGGGGAAAACCCACGAGGGTGGACACGCGACCCTACAACCGGGGAATCGAAAGAACTCTTGTAGTGAAAATGTCACAGAATGAAATCGTGTAGAATGTAGTGTACTTTCCCCTTGCAAAATGATAAGATAAACTATATATTAATGTGAAAAGAAACAAAAAATAATGTTTCATAAATTTGTCTAAGTTTTCCAAATGCTCCCTGTCATGTCTATTCCCAGTACGGGAAAACATTTGGGAGAAAGAAATGAAACCTGTTTCTCCCGATCCTCTGCTTGACCGTGCCGTGGTCCTGAAAAAGGCTGAATATTATTAGAGACTTTTGGCAAGAGGAATTTTTCCCATCCGTAGATACGTTGCGTCAATGTAGTTTTAGAGTTTGGGCAGATTTCCCCGCCGGGTACGTATGCGTCCCTGAGTTCTATTGCTTCCGACTCCACAGCAATTTTTGGTTTCACTAATGTATCATTTCAGATTTTTACGCTTTTACCCTAGAATAAAATCATTTACAGATTTGCAAGGTCCCCCCCCCCCAACGTTAGCACGTAGATCAAGCAGCATGCAGACAGACAGGAAAAGTATGAAAATTCCGAGAAAAAAAACACCAAAAATATGATTAAGTTCCAATCTCTATCATGGTTAAAATCACATTAAATATAAACCTTCGTGTTCTATGATACACATAGATTCATAAAAACGCTATGATACAACATTTCAGCGTCTAAAAGAAGCAAAAAAAGGTAAAAAGACAACAATATCATGGGCGAATAAAAATTGAAGGGTTTATATTTATAACTAGGTGACAATATCATTGATAATCCAAAAATTCGCCCAAAAAATCATTTCAAAAACAGACGAACCTTTACTGTAACCTGTATCCAACGACTTCCTCACATGCACGCAGACTATTATGGTGTGCCACTTAGGCCATCAACTGTTTCATTTTCAGACATTTGAATACAATCCAATACATGCAATCATGAGACTGACCAAGCCCAACGATGTGTGGTCTATGATCATGGTTGCTGATGGCGCTCTGTAGGGACTCTGAGATAGGTCTTCAGGGTTAGACAATGATGTGGCAGTTCATTTTGGGGAGTAACGTCCTCTCGTCGGTGGCACCATCAGTGATATAATCAACCTGGCACCAGCGTTATCTCTGATTATTCGTTGACATGATCTATAGTACATAACCTTTGATGACACACTGGACTTATCTTGGACGGGCACCTGCCTAGTTCTACGTGACGTAACTCAGGCCAGATCTATAAGATACGTAAGAAGATTACATTTTGTCAGACGTCTGGAGTAAGGCAACAGGACAGGCAAGTAATTATATATTGTTTTAGTTAAATGAAATGAAATGGGTGTATGGTCTTACTTTTGTGCACCAATGGGCCTCCAGCTAAAGATTCATACACGCAAGCAAATTATTGAAATAAAATTGAACCATATGTTAGGCCCTCGGTTTCCTCCTCATCAGAGAGAGAGAGAGAGAGAGAGAGAGAGGGGGGGGGGTTTAACGTCCATTCGACACAAACTAGGTCATTCCGGGACTAACATATGGTTCAATTTTATTTTAATATTTCGCTTGCGGGTAGGGGTCTTTAGCAGTGGGAGGAAACCGGAGGACCCGGAGAAAACCAACGAGGTTGGACAGGCGACCATACTCCTTGTGACTAACAATCGGGAGAATCGAAACCACGCTAGTTGACTCAATGACAGACCTTTTGATTCAATGCGCACGAGCTAACCTTTCGGCCATAGCACGCAAAGAGGGTAGGTTTTGGCACATTTGACCAATTTCACCAAATTGGGCCCGGCACTAGAAATCGGCCCGCAGCTCACCAACTTTTAAATTTTCCACGCAATGTCGCAGGTGTGGCTATCTTCGGGTACTAATCAATTACTATTGTAAAGTAAAGCATAGTTGGCCTTAAATATGAACGAATATAGGCCCAGTTAAAGTTATTCATATCCTGCAATGTATTCATATCCTGTTAGTTCGGGCTTTCCATATTGGGCGCCGCATTTTCTACAACACATGACAGAGTTGGTACTGTGATGATTGTTATGAAGACAAGCAGACGTTTAGTGGTGCCTGGGCAAACTCTTTGGCCGTATGTCCACCAAAACTATGGTATAGGGAGAGAGAGAGAGAAATGGGGTTTAACGTCCATTCAACACAAACTAGGTCATTTCGGGACCAACACATGGTTCAACTTTATTTCAATAATTCGCTTGCGCGTAGGGGTCTTTAGCAGTGGGAAGAAACCGAAGGACCCGGAGAAAACCCACGAGGTTGGTCAGGCGACCCTATTCCTTGTCACGTACAACCGGGGATTCGAAACCACGCCAGTTGACTCAATGACAGGCCTTATGATACAGGACATTGAACTGAGAAATGATGTGACACAGGTTTTTTTAGATATGTCAATACGTATCAAATAAACTTTTTATTCAAATTAATTAGGGCAGTTGGTACACCAAAAGTAACAGCGATAGTATCAAATTAAAAAAAAAATGTTGATTGGAATCACGGAGAGCCACGGTGGTCCAGTGAGTAGGACGTTGACACGCTAACCTGGAAGTCCCGTGTTCGATCCCTGCGTTGGGCGGGAAACAGTTTATTAGTATTTTCGGACGTGGTTCCTCCTTGTCAGTGGTGCAGAAGAG